TTCCTCTCCACTTCAAATTCTTCCTTGCATATCGCACAAACCTTCTCTTTCACCAAATCTTCTTCCCCGATGGTCACATTCTTTACAGCCTCGATGGCAGCTAAAGAGGCCGGTGGTGGACCGACACGTTCGTTAGGCATGACATCAACGAATTGATCATCATCGGTATTAACTAGATCATGGTTGAACCGGCTTCTAGGTGAGTTGATAAGATGGAGAGTGATCCAATCGGTATCGGTATCCCAATAAGGTCGGTTTAGCCTCATAATGTCAAGCTCATCGTGAAGATTGATCTCTCTTGAACAGAAAGGACATAAAGGACCATATAGACCATAGTTTCGGAGCCTAATGGTACGGCTACAATGACGGCAGTAGAAGTAATGGAACGTTCTTGTTCTTCTTGTTCCGTTCACAATAACTCTTGGTCGATACTCAGATGTCATGTGTTAACGTGGATTTTTGGATCCTTTTCCTTTTCTTTTTTGTTGTTGGTACGTAGGGTTTGAAAATATGCATTTATACCTGAATACGTGTACATGTTTTCAAGACGAGGCAAGACGAAGCCTATACGAATGAGTTATTCTTTTCTGTGTCTAGGACCGTGTCGTATGGCCTTTGCTAAACTCACGAATCTTTTGGTAATTTGTCTTGTACGAATCAAAGATTCAAGAGGATGCTTGGGGAATCAATTATGACAAAGGGTTTAGGTTTAGGAAAGAGGGTTGTTATTCTACCGGCCCATTATCGGCCTTTTACGGTTTTGCCCAAATCTCCCAATATAGGCTGTAAGTGATATCGTCTACTTAAAAAAATTTGAAAAACAAAAAGGTCAAAATTTTGAATATGTATATATGAAAATGATATTCCTGAAAAAAAAAGTTATAACGAATTGTTTAATTGAGACGGTCCTGTGAAGTGGGCAGTATGATAAAGCTTAGTCTCAGAGCTGAATAAATTAAAAGTAAAAACAATCAAGATTTTACAGTTTTGTATTGTTCTTAAATCGATAATCCGACATCTGAAATTTTGGATTTTTTTATGTGGTAGTCACGAACACGAAGGCACATCATAACCTACATACAAGGCTAAAGAAATCGTCGTCCTAGCTACTATAGATAAATAATCCATATAATACTCCATAAATCGTTTATTTTAGCTTACATAAATAATTAGTTAATATATAGATAATTAGTTAATAGCTAGAAGATATATAAAAAGTAATTAATGGTTGATTTGAATATGGATTCAAGGGACACTTGCACTACTTAAAGTGGGGAGATTGTTGAGTGTGATGTCTTTGCTAGTCTTATTTGGTTCAATAAAATCCGAGGTCGTAGTGATAATCTTCATTTCCTTGTTTTTACCCCATAGCACAAGGTATAATCCTCCCACGATAACCACTGTACCAATTATGCTGTAACGTCGGCAAGTAAAAATAAAACCATTATATACATATATACATCGCCAAATCCATCTCCACAGAAAACAATACAATGTTTTTTGTACCTCCCAATATGAAGTGTTTCATCTAGAACAAATGATCCGACAAGGGCTACGATCACAAGTCCTACAGGGCTAAATACCGATACAAATAACGGCCCTCTAGACTCGACGCACCATGCGTTGACAGCTACCACCATCCCGGAAATCACAATTGCCTGCGAATTATACCACATAAAATGTATACTCTTTCTCAACAACAAAAAAAAAAAAAAACACATATAAAATGTCTATACATTTTCAAGGCCAACCTAAATGAATCTTCTCTCTTGGACTTGTATGAATGTGTTATGTACACCAAAAATACCAGTTGTCTTTTAAGAAAATTATTTTTTCATCAGTGAAATAAAAATATTTACACATGGCTTTCAAATAGTTAAAGAAAACAATGATAATGTATATTCTACTACCACTTTTTCTGACAATTTTTTGACGATTTATGGACGAAAAAACATTTATAGAAACAAACTGATGAAAAAGGTTATCTTTCTGTATTGCGTCAAAAATATATATATTCTCTTTACCGCATAAGCAATGGTTAAGAGCCTGATATTCCATCCTAGCTTCCATTCCTTCAAATCGATGTTCCAGCAAAGAGCTACTAGCACAGCCACTATACTTCCCATCATGTTCATTAGCGTTGCGTTCCAATAAGGCCCTCCAAATCGTTTGCTTACTTTAACCTGCATTAAACTAAAAACCATGAGCATAAAGTGAAACCATTTGATTATACTACTTTCACATTGTCTAGTGACTCTAGTCCTATATATCACAAAGTAAACATTGCATGAAGCCATGGAGGTTGCGGAATAGTTTAGAAATCACATGCCTTATTATATAGACACACACACACACACTAACACACATACATGACAATATGGAGAAGATAAATGAAAAGGACTTGCCTGCAATAATAGCCAAAGTGAATAGGACAAGTTACCACCAAAAATAAGAAGAGCCCCAAGGATAGAGATGTGATGATTGGTAGCATCACGTGAGGAGTCCCGTGGTTGTTTCACTAGGTCAACGTGAGTTGACCATAGATGGATATCTTTTCCTCTGTAGAATATGAAGACAAGAGCTCCACCAACGCCAAACAGAGTTCCAAAAACCTTAGCCTTCCCTTCGCTCGATCCAAACCGTACACTCTCCATCCTATAGGACCCGATAGAATTTAAACGGATTTTTTTTTTTTTGTAAGGTGATAAGCCTAAAGAAATGGATAAAAAATGGTGGTTTATTGATTAGACTTGCCTAAGAAATGCAGCCAATATGAAAGTGATCAAGGGGCTGAGAACGGCAGCAGCCGAGGTGAATGTTGCTGATGTCAGAGCCAGACCCGTAATGGTCAGAATACTTGGTATAACCGCACTGTTCCATTATCACCAAATTATTGTAAACTTGTAAATTATAAACTTGTATTTTTGACTTCGTAGATAGTGAAATTGGTATATAAATTTAACCTATAAGATGAGTCTTCTACCCGTTGCCCAAAAAAAAAAAAAGACGAGTCTTCTACGACGAGACATTTGACCATACGCTCCTGATTAAATTTATTGTTTGATTTTTTTTTTAAGTAGTAGTTTCAGCCTAAACTTAGCCTAAACCATTGGTTGATAATATTGATTAATATGGTTGAAACTACTATGTACCATGCACCCTAATTCACCTTTAGTTTATCATATTTGATTACGTTAAAACGTTATCGTCTACAGACTCCTAAAGTTTTCTACGTCTTGGTTAAATTTTAAATGTACAATAACTGGTTGATAATATTGACAATATATGGTTATATATATATATATATATATATATATATATATATATATATGTGTGTGTGTAGAGTCTAGGCGATTACTTGGAAAATTAGTGTACTCTAAAATCTTGATTGTTGTAGAGCCTAGGCGATTACTTGAAAAATTAGTGTACTCTAAAATCTTGATTGTTGTAGAGCCTAGGCGATTACTTATAAAATTAGTGTACTCACCTAGCTAGCTAGTGGCTTTTATTTTTGGAAAGTGGTTTGCGTCTATAGAGAGAATTGAACATATATAGGATTATGCTACAGAGAACTGATCATAGGATTATGCGAGTTGTCTAACATTCACACAATATGGGTTTGATCAATTTATCAGTTTGAAGAATAATGTTTTAGTTTGAACATATATAACTTTGGCCGGCTGGTAAGAATAGAAGTTGCAGTTTTGAACATATGTAGAGCTTGAAAATCATTTTTTTTTTTTCGTGTGACATTTTTTTACGTACCCGAGTAACCCCGAGAGAAATGCTAGTAAGAATAGACTCCATGTGAACTCTGGCCTCTTCTTCCTAATCGATCGATCACATGGATTTAAAAACAAGAAAATTAACCAAAGTGGAAAAAAAAAGCAACTAGTATCAATATCAAAACATACAAACACAACCACATATATGAGAAAAGCAAAGCAACCTTTGAAAGATGAAGGAAAGGGGAAGCATGAAAAGTGTAGCGAAGAAGAGACGATAGGCCACGAGAACTCTTGGTTCCATACCATCTTCCACTACAAGCTTGAACAATATGTTCAACCCTGCGGTTGCTATCTGAACCACCACCATTGCCGTTATACCCTTCATTTCTCTCCACATTTCACATACACGCCCTACCATTTTTTGTTTCTTCTACTTTTCTACCCAAACTTTTTTACAGTTGAGAGAGAGAGAGAGAGAAGCTAGCTAAGTGAGTTACGCATTTCTGACTCTCAGCCCATGAGCTTTATTTATCACACCCATATATCTCTTTTCTTTCTTTCTTTTTCTTCCCCCAAGCTTTTTCGTCGCTGTGGTCCACTAAATTTTAGTACCATAAATGAGTTGTATGATATAGTAGATGCCAAATTCAGGTAAAATATGTTTCCGGAATATTATTTAAGATTTTATCATATCCCACTTAGAATAGAGTCTACTGTGCTTCTAAAGTATTAATTGTACTCTATAAAAAACACTTAAACCAAATATTCGAAACACTACAGAAATTTTTTTCCTCTGATCAAAAACGGACAGTGAATCTTAGCGAATAATAAAGATTTGGAAATCGAATGCGCAAACATTTAGGACTATGATGAGTCTATGGACTTGAGATGTGAGAGGTATATAAATGAGACAACTAGGTGACAATAGCTTATAACGCAATGAATATTAACCAAATGATGATTGGCTTTGCTTGGTTAGGACTTTTTAACTCATTTCACAGTTTTAAAAGTTTTTTTTAAACAGATTTTTTTTAATTTATTAGTTTTAAAGTTGTAAAAATCAGATTTTTTGTTTTTGGTCATGAATTCTAAAAATTAGGTGCAAGTAATTTTTATACAAAAAACCTAAGAAAATAAATATATAAATTTCTTTTTCTATTTCTTCTTTCTTCATAATTATTTAAAAACTTTGTAGATTTATATATAGATAATTACTAATTAAATTTAATTAATTAAATTTTATTTTCTGCTTTTTAAGATATCTATTTCTTAAAAATTTCAATTTTTTAAAAAGAAATATTTTAGAATAATAAGCAACAGCTACCGCTTTTACAACCAAAATTAAAATTTTATAACCAATAGTGTAAATTAAAAGCTAACAGTAACCATTCTTACCAAATAGATCCATAGTCTAGTGACCGTCTCGTAGAATTAGGCTCTCTTTTTTTTCCTAATACAAAATATAAAGAACACAGATTCTGTCTAAATTCTTTTATGAGATTTCCCGATTATAAAAATAAATTGTGATAAAAATTTTACAATTTCTTAAATTAGTAGACCTCCACACTTATGAACAGTTTATTAACTCCACCTTATGAAGAGAGCAGACGTGTGAGTGTGTGATTTTACTACTTCATTAAAACAAATGTTTCTACAAAATTTGTGGAAAAATAGTTTACCCTTTACCTTTATATACAAACTGAAATGCGTAAGGAATCCAGCAACGTGTTCTGATGCTGTTGACACGTGCGACGCATGCTTTCAGTTTTTGGTTCTCCATAACGGACGTACCCCAAAAAGGTGTACAAAAGCTTTTTTTTTAATTGTATTATTTTTTGTTTTTGATAAAGAAAATTGTATTATTTTCCCTAATATGAAGTGTTACAAATTGTTGAGGGTTAGTTAGTTCATGTATTAATTAGTATGGAAGTTAGGACTTCTGAAAATATGCTTCACCTTGGCCGTTGATTTTTTATCCAACTTTAAGGAATCTCATCTTTATTTCTATTCACGAACACAATTCTAAAAACGTACGTCATTTTGTGCTATACCATCAGTAATATACACCGTTACTTTGAAGTTACAGATGAGTATTCTATTTTATTCTCTGACAATTTTACACTTTTAGATTATTTTTTTTCTGGCTACCGGAGTAAATCTTAAACCAAAATTTATTAGACTTATCATTATATTCTTATCATTTAAACTTTAAAGCATATTTTTATAATCAGAGAAAATCTTCAATAATAGTTGTGGATGGTGAAATTCGATATTTAAACAAGATACACAGGGCGCATCTTCACCAAACACCACTTGGTTACTTTGAGGTTTTCTTTAGTGGAATAAACACCACTTGATTTCATATATTTGTATATGTACCTTCTTAAGACGTCTTTCACTTGCCATAAAATCTTTCTTTTTGTGTGTTGTTTTTCTTTCTTATTCTACATCAGAGAGTAGAAATGGTGTTAATTGAGCAAGTAAAATATATGCAGGCTTGGTGCTTGGCCCATAGTGTTTTAGCAAATTATCATATTTAAGAGCCCACAAAGTTTAACCAAAGTTGAGAATCAATATTACATGCAAATGAGATTTAGGTTCTTTTATAGAAGAACCTAAATATTATTAGTACGTTGGGCCTGATACCATCCCCGTTAAATGAGCAAGTGTCCATGACACCATCATGGCAAAAACTTATCTAACATAGTACCAACGTTTTCAAACAAACTAATTAAATGCATAATTGCATATCATAGAAATCATGTTGAGTTGGTTGCCCAAAAAAAAAAAGAAATCATGTGGAGTTGTCGAGTCTAATAGAACCCTAATTCAACCGTAAAAACTGATTGTGCCTAAAACACTATGCTCAAACCAAGCATATAATTGTAAAAAGTTTATCAGTTAATACCATAATTATTGGTTTTTTTTGTCTTTCCGTCCCATAATGATTGGGATGCTGATATAAATTTGCATATAAACGAAAAATACCATGAGTCTACTAGTTTAAGTTTTTGACAACGAGGACATATATTGACATTATTATTATTAAAAAAAATCGTGTCTAGTTGATAAAACTTTGGGAATAAAAAAGTGTGGTAGAAGAAAGGCATCAAATGCTTTGTTATTGGGATTCGCACTGTTTCTGAATTCCACGATCTGCCAACCATCTATTAATATAGTACATTTTTGATTTTCTTCTAATTTGTAAATTTCCAAACAATAACATATAAAATAAACAAAACCAAATGAATATATGTTCTTGGTCTACCTCCCTTCAATTAGGGAGGGAATCTGTTTTCTGATTCCATTCTTTGCTTATGGTCAAAATCAAACAAAAAAAATTCCATTTCACATCCTTTTATGTTGGAAAACAATAATGTTCAACAAAACAAATTTGAGTTTTATCAACAAACAAAATTTGAGTTTATGTTTTTTTTTTGTTTCCATGAAAATGGTGGAAAGTTGACGTTGTTTTCATAAAGTATTATATAATATACACTACATTACAATAGAGACATACTTTTTCCATTTTCTATCTTTATTTCTCTAAAAATTTCTCCATTGAAGGCTGCTCTCTAATAGATAGAGAGAGAGAGAGAGAAGCAAATTAAAAAAGCAATTCCACAAAGGAAAAGAAAGGAAAATAATTGGTGGTTTTTGGTCAGCAAAACAAAACAATTTTGGTTTCGTGAGAGATTTCTTCACACTCACAAAAAACTAAAAAAAATAAAAAAAAGACTGCGGCTAAAACAAAGGTGAAATTTTTACTCTCTTCCATGGCGTAAGATGATTCACTTTGTCAAAGCTTTGTCTTTTATATCCGATCAAAAGGTTTCGGGTTTTGCTTTGGATCTCCGAGGATTTAAGGAATCTCGATTTAAGCTGGGTTTAGATTAGTTTAGGGGTTTGATTTCTGAGATAGTTTTGATTTCGATTCTTAAAGTGTCAAAAGTTTGTTCCTTTTAGTTGATATTTTGGGGGATGGTGTGAGTTTAGAGGTGTATGGTAGTTTCATAGTTTCTTCTTCGGTTATGTGGATGGCCACACGATCTAATTCTGGGTTCCGTCACGAGGAGTCTTTGAGTTCCATGATGAGCCGTCACGCCATAAATTTCCAGTCGAATACTTCCTCAGAGATGATTCAGATGGGTCCTTACTTTGGTCGAAGTGGTGCCTTGTTGGGGATGAATATGATCAATAATGTCGCTAGTTCTGGGTTAATTCAAACTGGGAATTGTTCGAATGATTCGGTTTCTGGGCTCAAGCTAGATACTTCCTTGGCTAGTGAATGGTCAACTGAAGAACAATTCAAATTGGAGGATGGCCTTGAGAAGTGAGTTTATGTAATTTCTTTCTATCAATGAGCCTGAGATGGCTTATTTGTGTGTTGAAGTTGATATGAGTGAAGAATTTGATTCTGTTTTGCAGATATAAGGATAAGCCAAGTATCATGAAGTATATTAAAATTGCAGCAACTTTACCTGATAAAACCGTTCGAGATGTTGCTTTGCGGTGTAGATGGATGACGGTAAACCTCTCTACACCTATCTGCCATTTTTAGAGTTTTTGTAGCTTTGTTGCCCTTTTGTAGTCATGCTATATGTGTATCGCAGAAACAGTGCTAAACTTGCATTACTTCTTTGCCTGTCCTAGTACACTATATAGTCTCCACTCTTTATAAGTTATATAACACTTTAATGTCGAAACTTTAGGAAAATGACACATAGGATGCAGCATCTAAGTGTCTAATTTCGTACATATGATAGAGCACATAGAGATTCCTAAAGTAAACTCAACGAAATGGTTTCTACTTCGATTTTATTTGGGTTGGACTTTGCCTTAGGATGGAAAGTTAGTCTTATTGTCGCCTGATTTTGTAACAAACGAGTTCTTGGGATGAGGATAGGGAGCATAACAGTCTCTTGAGTTGGAGTTTTGAGAAAAATCTTCTCTGATCTGCATAATGATTTCTTACATTTTTATCTTTTGTCTTTGTCCATCAAAATACTGAATCTGTTTTTCACAGAGGAAGAGAAGAAAAGCAGAGGAATTATACTGTGGGAAAAGAACAAGTTCTAGCAAGGTACGTATGTTGGCGATTCTTGCCATCTATTCAATTTGATGAGTGACTACTCTTAAATAACAGTCAAACTCGACATTTTGTTTGTTTTGCTAATTGAGATCAAGTTAGATAGAAAGATGATTGCTAGGAATGAGATGGAATATCTTTTACATCTTTGATAAACTGAGGTTTGGTCCTAAGGAAGGCAGCTGTCTAAAAGATTTATATTTCTTCAGGACAAGCAGGCGGAACTGTCTTCGAGCATACCTTCTGTTTTGCCTGATAACATGGCTTCGTATCCTTTCTTGATGCCCTTTACGAGCTCCAGTAAACATATTACATGTGAAGGTCAGCATCTATGTATCTTTATCATCCGAATTTACCAACTCCAGGTCTTTATTGATATGCACACATTCATATCGTATTTTGTTTTCAAAAGGAGGCAGTATGTTCTTTTTGCTTGGTGCATTTACAGTGGCTCAAAATATCAGTTTGGTATATATCTGGTCTTCTTTTGTTAGATAAATAAGATGGGCTTATTGTATTTCAGAAAGACTTTTGCTCTCTTAGTAGGGTGACTAAGATAGTGAAGTTGGTGAATCTTCTTAACTTCATTGTCCTCTAGAGCCATTCTTGTCAAGCTGAATGTACATCCATGAATTTGTCCAGCATTTTTTCCATCATGTTGATGCAAAGAGAAATTTCTGAGATTATTTATGTCATACAACTAGTATAGGAGTATAATGCCTACTGCATGCTTCTTACAGTAAAATCTTACGTTGAAGTCCTGTAAGGATGATCCCTTTCAGCTGTCTTAAATATCGAGTTTAGTTGAAGCCGCTAATCTTTTAGTCTTGGCTTTTCTTTAACTGTTTCTTTCGTTTTTCTGCCTCAGATTTAAGTGGACATGCAATAAGTCTCTTAGAACAGAATGTAAGAGCTTTTAGTCAAATTAGAGCTAATCTCTCCTCATATAAGGTAAGTTATAGATTATCTGGTTTAAAAAGAATGCAAATGCGTTCTTGCTAAAATCGATCCGTCCTGATTACGAACAGGTACAGGATAACATAGATCTCTTTTGTCAGACAAGGAACAACCTTATCACCATCCAAACTGAGTAAGTTTAATACTTTTTAACATTTCTGATAAAGTGAATGGAGCTTGGTGGACTGATGTCTTAATTTGGCAGCATGAATAATATGCCTGGCTTAATGAGCCAGATGCCACCATTGCCTATTGCAATCAATGATGATCTCTCGGCTACTATATTGAGTAATTCAACTTTGGTAAGTTAAAAGTACATTGCTTTTTAGATACCAAATGTCCACGTTACCGTTTTCTTTGTTTACATTTGACGCTACTACTGTAGCTCAAACCTCAGGTCTCTGGTTTAAGAGACTCAAAACATAGAATTATTGTGCTTCGAACTAGTTGAGTTTCTTAAGACATGTTTTGGTTTGAATATGAGTCTATGAAGAGGAGCATAGGAATAATAGCTTCCCAACAGTTCAGATCGTATACACATGTTATTAGCAATGACTTTGGCTTTCTTGATTTGTACCAGGCGATGCCATTCAACACAATGCAAAGTGGCAGCTTCCACATGAAGCAGGAGCCTTTGGGATGACTTAGGAAACCATCTGGTTTCCGTTAATTACCTGTAAATTGTCTTAAAGAAGCTGGAGGAAGAAAAAAGAGCACACTACATCTCTTTTTCTTCATCCACCGCGTCTCATCACACGTTGCGAAGTTTGTAGAAAATGTGATTCTTTCGTAACACCAAAGATCTTTATGGCCACGCCGGATGTTGAAAACAGGGCATAATATTAAGAAACGAATAGTCTTGCTCCTGGCTCCAAACTCAAAACCCTCTTGACAAGGTCTATAGATTGATCAACTTAGTTGTGAATGTTCTTGGAGAATGCTAAGCGATGTGTATAAAATGATTTTCTATGGGAGATATAGAAGAGCGTGTTGAGATTTGTATCTGTAATCTTTTGATCTTTTGGTGTGTTTTGTTTTTGTACCCATTTCTTCTTAATATATTAGGATCGAAGTCATGTTATAAAGATCAATGTTATCTTCTAATGTTATTTAATAACATGATCATACTAAGTGCGACAGATATTTTGGTTATATTTTTGTCACTTTTGTCATGTAGCTAATTTTAGCCTTACTTTACTAAATAAGTGAAGTGAACATCGAAAGAAACTAAGCAAACAATCTGCAACCTTCAGTTTTGTATTTACGAGGACATGAATGTTTAAAAACAAGAACAAATACAAGAATCCATGGAGACGATGTTCAAGTAATATAAAAATGATGGGACCAAAGGGAAAACACTAGATCATCCAATTGAATCGGTTTTGAGAAGATGAAACATGATCTCCTCCTCCTCCTCTAGACGATGGATCATCAAAGTTGAAGCTTCTTATGGATCGATTGTTGCTGCCATTTTGGTGAATATAGGAATTAGGATGAGAGAGGTTGTCGCTGGAATCGAGTAACACGAATGGAGAAGTGGAAGCTGTGGAAGCCATGGCTGTTGCTCCGACCGGAAGTGGGTGGTTATGTGTTCCTTCGTAGGTTGTTATCAGTATCGACATGTCTTCTAAACACCTTTGCACCTTAATTCACAAATGCAACAACTCATAAATAATTGTATACATATAACATATTAAATTAAAAAGGACTATATACTAATATACAAATATATTCATTTTCACTAGCAGGTATGTAAGTTAATCTAAAATAGGATCATTCTAATTTAGTGATTTATACTAGTGTTTTTGTTATGTCATTACATACTGTTGAAAAGTAAAAACTTTGATCTAAAATAACCAACACTATATAATAGTACTTGTCTTTGAATAAATATAGTATATGCTTGGTTTGCTAGATAGCCAAGTTTTTTTTTTTTTTTTTTGAATCAAAAATTGTTGAAACACTCGCGGTGGTAAAATGATAAGTATGAGTATATTTTTCATGAGTGATTTTAAAGATTTATACTAATGTTGTTGTTGTGTTATTACCTGAGTTTAAATCTAATAAAATGCCTATTGTTGAAATTTATAGGGCTGGTTTGCTAGATAGCCATTGTTTATGATCAAAATTGATGGAAAAAACAGGTGGTAGGAAAATCTTAAGTATGAGTATATTTTTCGTGTGTAATTAGAAAATAGTGTTATGTCATCTAAAATGTTATCGAACAAAAGAACAATATGATAGCTGTTAAATAAAACCTTCTTGAAATCCATGTTTTCCAAAAAAAAAATACATGCGATATATAAATCACGTCGTTTTTCCTATCAACCTAATAAAATTTTGCTATCTAGTTTATCTAAAAAATTGAGAGTATATATTTCTAGCAGAGCTTACCTGTTTTCTAACGGGACATCCTGGAGCCACGGTGCATCGGTAATAAGCTCTTGGACATGGATTCCCTTTCGCCGTTTTCTGACCATACTTTCTCCATTGGCATCCATCATTCATCTATACTTAATTACACCATAAAATCTTTCTTAAAATTTCATGTTACAAATCTCCAAATTATTAAGTCTAAGATCGGTTAATAAATATAAAGAAACTCACCGTTGCGGTCTCACATCTCGCTCTTACAGACACCCTGGCCTTTCTATTCCCTGGAGAAGACGATATGACACGTGGTGCATTCGTATCTAAGCTGCTACTATTCATGAATCTTTGCTGATGAGTCTCATCTTCCTTATTGGTCTCTTCTTGTTTCTGCTTCTTCTGTAAAGAAAGGGAAAGCCCTAGTTCTCTTTCCTCGGATTTAGATCTCCCAGCTCCTCTTTTTCGAGCCTTATCCACATACCAGCTGCCTTGTGCGCCAAGGAACGTTTCAAGATCCTTAGGTTAAATCAAAGATATCAATCAGGTTTCATGCATGTTAATTCTCACAACCATATATATGTAAGTGTATGAAAACACAAGACTCTCTCTATCTCTCACCATCTTGTTGGTTTGATCGATAACCGGGAGTTTCATCTCCAGATGACGATAATCTTGAAGGGTTTGCTCTACAAGTTTCCTCAACCTCGTATTCTCTTCTTTCACATGTTCCATCTCGATCTGCATCTGCAAGAGCTGATCTCCATCCATGGATCGATGTTAACATATTTTCACACACAAAATGTTGTATACTTTTATATATAGAGAGACGTATGTCACGTATCGACGTATCGTATGTACCTCTTCACGTTCGTTTTCTTCTTTTCTTGTCCTCGAACCTAAACAAGATTCGTCGACATCGTCTTCTTTCACCATTTGTTCATCTTCATCGTCACTATCATCATCATCATCTTCTTCTAATTCTTCTTTCTTCTTACAGCTGTGTTTTGTTCTTTCTTCATGCTTCTCTTTCTCGAGCTTGAGAGAAAGATCGATGTCCATCATGGAGATGCAAATCAAACCTTTGTATCTGTTTGTTAGATTTGTGTTTTGAAGTGCTAAAGTCAAATCACATTTCTCTGATCAGAATTTTGTTTACTATTTGTATTATTCACTCTAGTACGCATCTAAAGCTAGCTTTGACTTTCTTTTAATAATCAGTTTGTCTTTAAGATAAAAAAACAATCCATGTTATTTTAATAAACCGCTTAAGAACCGGAGTTACTATAGAATCATGGATAGATCATAGATTAGATGCAATTTCTTTAATAGTTTTATAGCACTTTTTTTGTAATATCAATATTTGGGCATTAGGGTCCAGGAAATTTCCCATCACATGTATGGTACCATGTGAAATACAGAAGACCATATCGACGAGCATAGTTTTTTTTTTCAACTGGTAATTTATGTGTTTATAATCGAATGCGTTAATTTTTTCGTATAAAACATGCATAGCTCAAAATCAAAAAAAAAAATTAGTGAGATCGATCAAAACGTATGATGTTTTCTCTCTTTTCTCAATTCAACATCAGAGGTCTAAAAATCAAAGCATCAAACATATTTCTCAGTTCAACATCAGAAGTCTAAAATTCAAAGCATCCACAATTTATATAATGAGTTGTATTGTTATATAACGTCGTTTATATTCTAGAATTCTACTACTAAAGTTTTGCTGAAATTTTCTAACAGATATAAATAAAATAGCTATAGAATGCATGCGCGCGCAGCCATCATGGTACTTGCTACATAGACGCGCTAGGGGGAAAGATGATCTTGATTCTCTGAATTTTCTCAACTTCTTTGCCTTTTTTTTTTCTGGCGTTAGGCTAATTCACCCTTTTATTTATCCGATTAGCTAACCTACGATATTATTTCTCTTGTTATTCGATCTATCTACAGTTGATGTTGATAGGTTTGGTTTGAATTGTAAATAGTCATATGTATGTGATATATGAAGTTGAATTTGTAAGATTCTTTTAAGCTTTGTACGTGTCAGTGCATAATTTGTTGGCGAGAACGACGGATTGTATGATTTATTTTTTCATCAGTCAACTATGGTTATATGATATTATAGAAGGTAAACAAAGGTCATTATAATAAAACCTTGTCCCTCTTCCTAAATAACTAAAGCCATGCCATTTTAGATAACAAGTCATTTTATATGTGACATCATTATTATAATTATTATTGTGCCATTTTATACGTCCAATTACCAATTAATATATTCGTACGAAAAAACCAAGAGCAATATAGTTGCATTTGGATCGGATCTTAAGATAGTCAACTAGAAAAGTTTCAATTTTAATTATTTTCATATTATCTTATGTAGTTATATATGTCACATTCATTTTATAACCTTATTTTTCTTACCAAAAATTTTTAGGCTCTGGTCCATAATTTTGTTAGACAATTTATAACAAGTTAGGTTTAGATGGTCATCTCTATAGAGCCGAATCAAACACTTGACTTTATTATAAATTATAAACTCAGATTATGAATAACTGCGTATTGGTTATTTACAAGACATTTCAATTCTAGCATATTGTCCACATGACACTTGTAAGTATTTAAACTTTGTTTATTGGTCAAAAGTATTAAAAATTGCGTAGTCAACAATAACTTGAATAAACCTGTAAACGGAATCCTTTTTTTAGCTAAAATATATCGATCATCTACTATTTGAGGTGATGCAATAATGTATTATAGTTGTTGTGTTTAGCAAAAAAAAAAAGTGTGACTCGTGACATATAACTTGTATACAATTGTGATTGTATAGCCAAACACACATTGTTGCAATTTGAATCAAATGATACGTGAACATTTCAGCATAACAATAATATGATGCTCCATCCATCTATTTAATAAGCGGGATTTAGTTAATTATGCATGTGTCAAAAAAAAAGTATGCTTCGGTTCAAAAAAAAAAGAAAAGTATGCATGTGTTTTATAATCTTACCAAAAAAGGACTTTGTTGATAAAAAGAGACATTAATATTATAATATATAGTATGATAAAGAAAAAAAAAATTGGCAGAGGAAGCGTGGGACAAGAGAGCAAGCGGCGCCGCAGCCATATCTTCCGTTGGAATTTTTATTTATAATCACAAGAAAGAAAAGGTCAAATGTATTTTTTTCCCTATGTCTCTTTGTATGCATATTATGGTTTCTTCTCTCGTTTTACAATCTATCTTTGTGTCCCTCAAGTCAATCTTTTGATTGAAATCTAATCTTCGTCTTTATACATTGTTGTTTTTCCCCTTTCTTCTTGCTGCATTTTATTAGTGTTCAAATAATCCGCATATTCTTTTTACTTTTAATCAAAGAATTAAAGTGTGAATAAAGAGTCTATTGTAATATTATTGAAAATTACTTAGATCTAGCTCTAGCTCTAGGTCAACGTATGTATGACTCTGCGAAGCCAGCTACAATCTCCCAAAAATTCCAGAGGTGCCCAATATCCATAGTAGTTAATTAGCTCCAAGTCCAAACACATACTAAATGTTGTAAAACCCCTAAGTCATGCAAAAGGCATCCTTGTTTGACAAGGCAACCAAGCGGTCCAAGCCTACCAAGTTGCACCATGAGCACTTTTTATTTATTTTTGATCCGCAGCCAAAATGGTCAAGATTTTTTTAAGCTATATGCTTTCAAACGACTAAACAATAATTCCAGTTTCCATATACATTGTATGTATATGTGATCGTATTAGTTAAATAGTTAAAATCAATTCATTCTTATGAAAGCCTTATTGATTCTTCGAAATTCAATCTCTCACAACATAGTATTAGATACATTGATCAATGATGACGAGATATCAGTTATGTTAAATATATATCACATTTCAATAGTAAACACACCTATTGGAGATTTCGAGCGTTCTATCATTTCAGCTTTGTAAAAATACTGTCAAAATTCATACAAGTTAATGTGACGACGGTTTACGATAACTACGTTTCTGATTCGTGGTCAGGCCCAATCTAGAATCATGATGGGCCTTAAAAAGGCTTTGAAACCATGGGCGCGTCAGTATGACGCACGTAAAGGACGCGTGGAGGTGTAGCTCAATCACACGTGGCGAGAGGAAAGAGAAACTTCGAATCCAGAGCTTTGGTGGAGCCGTGGTGGCGCTTCCACGCGAATCTCGCAGCCCCACTCGCTATCCTCGTCCTCCCGCTCGTCTCTCTACCTTCGTTATCTCCCTCTCGCTCGCTCGATCGATCAAGTCTCTTTCTCTTCGTACGCTGTTTTTGGAACCCTAAGATTTAATCCCTAGAGGTGAAATCTCTGTCGCGTCTTCTTCGTTCCACTCTCTTCGTGTATATACAGCGATCTGGGTGTTTTTTTTTTGTTTGGACGGATTTTTCTAGGTGATTGATGTAATCATTTTGATTCTCGCTGGGAATTTGAATTTTGTGTAGTTGTGATTTCGGAATTTTGACTTGTTAGGTTTCGGATTTTGATTCACGAGTGGTTGAAACGTTGTTGAATTGTTTATCTCGATAATCGCATACCCAATCTGGGCATTTTTAATTTTTGATTTCTGGGGATTCAAGGATCGAGTTATCGTGAAGAAGATGAATTTTTTTTTTCTTTTTTGGATAACATTTTTATTATATAAATTTTCTCTGGATCTGAGATGTGTGAAAAGTGATTTTTCTCCATGTGGATTAGATTCATGGCATGAATTTTAATAATTGATTCACTGTCATGTCGCTTGAATGTTCGATGAAGCACGTTCCTTTTGGTTGTCCTGTAACACGTTTGGCACATCTTTTAAAAAAAAAACATTATTTCACTAGTTATTCTTCATCTTTGTTTTCCATGAATTTTGGATTTGGTTGCTTAATGATCTTAGTCATTGTGTTGTTATCTTGAGAGTTTGAATCATCCTTCTAGGCTTCCGAAATTGTGAGAGGTATCTTACTTTTCATTTGTTTGATCTCTTTTTCGTTTTGGAGAATCAGGTCCTTAACGAACTTCTTTGCTTTGATCTCAGTTTCATTAGATTGCATTCGTATAACCATCGATGATTTGCTCATCATGCGATTCCAATCTTAATATGAATAGCTTTTTATATTGTTACTTCTGCTAGAGGTGAAGTCTCTGTTGCATGTTGTAACATCTGCTTGTTTCGTTACAAACTTTTTATATGCTTGCTTTTGCTAATCGAATGTCTACTTGTTCAGGTGTCATTTTGAGATTATGGCCAAAGCTAGAAGGACAAGTCGCAGGATCCATTCGCGACGGATCAGAGCACGACCATACAAACTTCCGTCGTCTAACAAGCTCGGGGCAAGCAAAATGTTTGCAGAAGATTGTTCAAAGTGTCTAGAGAAGAGGGACTGGGAGAATGTAATATGTTCGGTTTGTATGGAGTGTCCTCACAACGCTGTTCTGCTCCTCTGCTCATCTCATGACAAGGGTTGTCGTCCATACATGTGTGGAACCAGTTTCCGATATTCCAACTGCTTGGATCAGTACAAGAAAGCATCAGCTAAACTAAAGCCATCGAGCCATCCACCGATCAATAAGTCTGAGCTTGGAAACCTCAAGTGCCCACTTTGTAGAGGGCAGGTGAAAGGTTGGACCATCGTGCAGCCTGCGCGTGACTATCTGAACCTAAAGAAGAGGATCTGTATGCAGGAGAATTGTGTTTTTGCTGGAACCTTCAAAGAGCTGAGGAGACACATGAGAAAAGACCACCCTTGTGCGAAGCCTCGTGAAGTTGATCCTGATGTGGAGCAGAATTGGAGAAGGCTTGAGATAGAGCATGACCTGGATGATGTTACCAGCACGATTAGGTCGACAATGCCTGGTTCAGTGGTGTTTGGAGATTACGTTATAGAGAGGACCAACGTCCACGGTTCAGATTCAGACGACGGTGCTGTTCATTACAATGTTGACGGCGTCATCGATGCTGGACTTTTGAATGTTGTCCTTATGTTGCATTCTCTTGGGGCATCAGTGAATCAGACAAGACGCTCTGTTTCAGATTCGAATGACACGACTATCAACCGTGGAAGAAGTGAGATGAATTTCTCTGGCGAGGAGGAGGAGGAAGACGACGATGACGATGAGGAGAGGCAGCACAGTAACTCTTTGGCAAGTCGAATGAGACGACAAGGACGGGTTCTGCTGGGACGCTCAGGTAGGAGACGTAGAAATAGAGAAGCTAACAGCTCAGGTCCTCCTAGATGAGTGAGCTTATTACACAAACTCAAAAAAAACAAAAACCCTTTGGTCTGATTCTGGGTTTCAGGTAAGTTTTATGGTATGGTTAGGTACAAATGTAGTTTCCCACAAGTTCAAAACAAACAAAAAAAGGGTTTTGACCTGTGAACTTCTTCTGCTTTTACCATTAGATAATGGTTTGGTGTTTGATAATTTGGGAATTTGACTCAAATTTGTTTTCATGGGCTCTTGATTGTCAAAGAAGCATGTTTGGTATTTACTCGGTTTTACTGTATCCTGATGTAACTTTCTCGGTAGAAATTTACATAAATTTATCCTTGTGAATAAGCATGTTAACTGATGACCAGTAACCACAACACATGAAGTCTCTTCACCAATCATGAACAATGTAACTTTGTACCCTGAAATCTGTTTGTTTTTGTTTGTTGGTTTCGAGTATCCACAGACTTATATGAAACCACCAGCACTCGGAAAAACATCTAATGATTGATTTATCTGAATAACATGTTATCAGTTTTGTGTTTAGTGTATTATTTATTTTGGGCTTCTATAAATAAATTGGTGGGGGCCTTACTCTTACTATCTCTTCTCTCTTTTTATTTTTAACTCGTCGCTGTCGAGTTTTGTCTTGTCCCCATTTTTTTGGGCAAATTACAGAATCAATAAATGGAGGAGGGTGAATGCGATTGTGAACAAATTGACAAAAAAAAAAAAATAAATAAAGAGATTCTGGTTTGGAATTGGGCAAAAAGTGGCATGCACCAAACAAGAAGAAATTTGGAAATGAGAGAGATAAAAACAAATGGTAAAATGGTCCATTTGGTCCAGGGAAAGAAAAGGGTTATTACGTATAATGTTTAAGAAATGAATCTTAGTCTTACTTCTCATCTCGGATATTTATAAAAGCTTCTCTCCATGTTCTTCAAAATTTCATTAAACAATTAATTCATTGTACGTTTCGAATATAAAATATCTCTAGCCGAAAGCGTTATCAAGAAGACTAGAAGAGGGAGAGAGACAAAAGAAGGTCGTTTAATTGATTATTACCCAAAAAGGAGGAAAAAACATTTTGGCTTTTTAAAAGTTTGAGGTAGAATAAAGTTTATACTTTTATGGATGTGGTATTATTGTCTTTTATGTTTCCTTTCTTTTTTGCATGATTTAGCGTCATCGTTTAATCATATTAGAAGTTTATGAACATATATATATAGTATAAGAATATTTGCAATGCAGATATGCATGAGAAAAATGATGATAACAGGTTTTTGTACCTTTATCATGTCGCATCATGTGACATAACCACCTAAACGAACCAATCCATGTGATTGACACCACCAAAAATACACAATATCAACAACAGTTCGACACCAAAAAGTATGTTGATAGGCCACACTTTACTTTAAAAATGGATAAGAGAAAACTTTGTTTATTAACCAAAGAAGTGGTTTGTTTAATCGCTGATTATAATAAGGGCGTGTCTAACTTTCACTTCGAATGTTATTCGTTTGAACCACTATGAAACAAAATTCTGAACAATAAAATCACAGTATATATATACATAATATCCGTAAAAACCATTTCTTCGTTGAATATCTATTTTTCTCTATGAAGATTACATTGTATCATGTTTTCTTTGTAAATCGTTGTAGGTTTGAGTGGCGACATTTTATCTTATACAGAACATTTTCTATTGTCTTATATAACTATGAATTGGTAAAGATCTCGCTCTTGTGATTTCAGTTTGTAAACTCGGTTTCCTTAGTTTGGTTAACTAAACCAGTTTATGAATATATCATTACATGTTATTGGTGACGCTATACCGTTTATATTTATATTATCTCATAGAAACGATAAAAAGATCGAGATGCAGATTTAGCAGTACAACAAAAAGAACCTAACGACAGAAAGTTTTGTACAATTAAATTTCCTTACCAATCAAAATTATAACTGAATTGGCTTTTGTTCGCCAGTTTACCATCTCTTATGAATCAACTTATATCAAAAACGTGAAAGAAATAAAAGGCTGAACAGACAAAAAAAACGAAATCATTTGAAAAAGAAAAACAAAGGAAAATTATACAAAAACAACTATAAAGAGTGGTCCAATAATAAGTAAAAAATATTTCTAAGTAACAAAAATATGAAAATAAGATATAGTAATATTTAAGAATGGTGTCGTCACGATGTGACAAGACATATAAAGGTGAATTCAAAAGAAGGAGAAGAAGGAAATCATGGAAGTGAGTGAAGAGGGGTCTGATGAGAGAGACTGATGCCTGACTCCTAACCATTTCAAACTTTGGCACTGAAAATCATGGCTTTTTATATTTTCATCATTTGTTAGTTTTTTTTTTCGTCGACACCCACTTCTTCTGCTCTGAAAATGACTTTTATTTTCTCCTCTCCCCTCTCTATACATTTTCATCTTTGTATCAGTATAATTCTCACATTGATTGCGGCTTTGACATGAATGGGTGAACCTTTTATTATATAGTTTTGTTCCTCCCATATTATAGCACACGGTCACTCAAAACTCTGCCCCCAAGAAAATTATAGTTCTTTCACTTGTCAATTAATCTCTTACAATAAATAAGGTTTAATTGGTATATGATTAATTTGGGAGACAAAAATAGTGTTCGCTTTCATTTTGATGTTAAAACAGCATGCTGATTTACAATTCCATTACTTTCTTTCGTCTGTATTTTTGAAAACTTAATAAAAATCGAGTAAGTTTGTGTATTCAGATAATTTTTAGCTATCCAGGTAGGCAATTTAAATATCTGGATAGTTGTCAATATGCATTCTTCCCTACTAATATATATTATACTAATCCCAAAAAAATTACTTCCAATTCCAATTATCTTTATCTTAAAGTTTGCATAATTCAGGGTAGATAGATTCAAGTGAGATCAAGTAATGTGACCAATAATATATTATGACTCTAATAGATATATATATCTTCACACACAAAATTACGACGAACAGTTATACTATAGATATGCTGAAAATTTCTGACTTTTTTTCCAGTATTGTGCATTATGGGAATCAAACCCTAAACCTAATGTATAGATTTTAATAAACTTTTGGTTAGCCACTAAAACTTAAAAAAAAAAAAATCACAATGTTCTAAAATATTTGGAGTAGATTCAAATTGAAATTAATTCTAATTAACTCTTCTATTTTTATCAAAAATGTATTTTTCTAATTTTTTAAAGGGTAAAAGCATCCACTAATTTCCTTCGACTATAACCTTGAAACTACATAATTCATATTTAAACTTTTTAAACTATATATGTAATTTACCAAAATATTATACAACTTAGTTACTTATGCTCTAGTAGTCTGGTTATTATACATTTCGTTACTTATGCTCTGGTTGATAAAAACATGATCGTCGGAACCTAGTCGGCGTAGAGGCCATAAAAAGACCGTGGATCACAAAAAGATTTGATAACATCTATATACAGTTTAAACACATAATATAATATGAAGCTAGAAGACAGAAATTAAAGTATTGTAAAAAGAAAAGGCAAACTTTAGTTGAATCCGAACTAACCACATACATGTGTCAAGCAGTAATGCTTCTTTCTTCTTCTTTTTTTCTTTTTTGTATACAACCAAAATTAACAATAAACTATTCAACACTGAATATTCTTTCACCAACCCTCGTTTTCTAGGTTTGCTCAGCAACAGTCATTACTACATTTACAAATAGCTAAAATTAACCTCTTCCTTTTGATAATAGAAAAATATATAAATACGGCCAATTTCTTATATTAAAACGTAGTTGCTGACTTTCACTGTAAATCAGAAAATAGATATTGGATGTTTTATGTCCATAAGATGTTCGATGATATTTTAAGGTTTTATACCAACTCGAATGCATATTTTTCATTCTTAGCCAATGAAAATCAATGATGTAAATAAATTAAAGGTTTGCAAGACTTGTGCTTAGTGATCGTTAATCATTTAATTGATGAGCATACTAACATCGCTAGTTAAACGTCAACCATTTCTAATCAAAAATCTTCCGCCATGATTCATATCTTTGATATATCTTTGTTTTCTTGCCTTTCTTAATTGGCCATTCATTTAGTCATTGTTTAAGTCATATTTACAAAAACTAAAAACTATATTAGTTTAATTAGCTTAAATATATATAGTATCTTGAATTTTTAGTGAACTATATCTTCTTATCCTGGATTCGACCCTTTCAACTACAATTCTTGTCCCTGCACTTATAATAGAGTTATTCAGATTTATTAAAACTTAATTGATATCAACTGTTATTATTTGGTTTTGCTTTTACCGGATTTCGATACCGATTCATCATTTTATGGGGTGGATAGATTGATCGCTTGTCGATCTTTAACTTGCATGCATGACCGTAGCTTGCAGATTTAGCACTTATCATTTTTAGAACATGCTACAAGAACAGGCGTGTCTGACTTATTGCGTCAATGATGGAGTTTGTACCATCTCGGAAAGTTGTGTACACTTTGCGTCCCATCGTCAATCTGCTTCTAGCTTTCCTATTTTTGTTGGTTTCGGGGTCTTTCAAGAAAATGCAAATCTTTAAAATAATATTTGATTTGGACTAAGTATATACTCTTTCTTATTACTTGTTTTTGTGAAAATTTTAATGGTGTAAAGCAATCGGACCAAATTCCAAATGACCAAGTGCCCACAAGGTCACACGTAAAGTTTGCATACGGTGGAAACGAATTCGAAATTGCAATGTGTTCGAAATTGCAATGCCGTGTTTGAGCACAAACTTATGAAATATATGTTTCAAGGCCAATATTTTTATAAATTATTTGAAGGCCAATTGCAAAAGAAATTAGTTAGTTTAGTGGTTTTATGGATTAATGTTGTGCGAGCTAATGTAGGTTCGATTCCTTCTAGATGCACGAATTAGACATTTATTCATCTATTTTTCAAAAGTCAGTTTTTAAGTTGTCCCACATCGAAAAATTGAAAAAAATTAGAAGGGAAAATGAGTCAATTTTTTTTTTGCTTGTAACCTGAGAAATCTTAGGCATGACTCTGGTTCTATATATTTGATTTTGATCTAATATCACCGTTCTACCACACGCGGATCAATATTATATTTTATATAGTATACGTCATACCTAATCTTAATTAGTATATTATATAATTCGAGTATTTTTAATAAGTCGGTGAGAAGAGAAACGATGATTATAATTTATACTGTAAGACCATCTCCAATGTAAATCTCCATTTTTTACTCCAAATTGGAGTAACTCCAAAATGGAGTTGTATTTTGCTCCAATGTATGACTCCATTTTTGACTCCAAAAAAGAATATTCCTAATAGATTCTATTTTTCTTTTACTTTTAATAATCGATAACTTTTAGAAGTTACAAAATAACCCATTTATTTTTATTTTATCTAAAATATTTGTAATTTACGAATTTAATAAAATTAAAATATTTATTAAATAAAAAATTACATAAAATCATAAAAACATAAGAAATTTAAGGCTATGTTTTATTTTTGATTTGTAGAGGAATTGTATTCCTACTTTTTGAATAGTAACATTTTTGTTTTTTATTGATATGCAAGTCAAAGTGATATGTGTCATACAAATATTAAGTGTATATCTGAAAAAATGCATATAGCCATATATAATGTCGAAAATAATGCAGTGTTGATAAAAAGTATAAAATTATAATGATTTAATATTTTAAGGATTAGATTGTAAATAAAAAAAGTATAGCTGCAAAATGGAGTAGAATAAAGGTTTATTCCAAATATGAAGCAATCTCTATTTTTTCTCTATTTTGCAGTCAAAAATGGAGTAGAGTTGGATTGAAATTTACTTTAAAATAGAGTTTGCAGCAAAAAATGGAGCAGGGTTGAAGATGCTCTAAATCTTTGGTGAAAAATGACATTTATGATGTATATTATGTACTAGTACATTTAAATACCATAGAGAGTGAGGCATAATAATAACTTTGTAGGAAGTTATTTATTAGAGTATTGAAGAATCCCACATGGCAACCATGCAAGCGTTTAGTTCGTAATTATGACTCGCACCAATTATAAATATCTCGACTGGTTTTTGATAGGTGATTAATATCTTTACGTGGTGAAACCAGTTGAACTTAATATATTAGTACTATTTTCTTTAGCAGCTAGAAAGGTGTTAGACAAAGATGCATCACATAATAAAACCTACAAGTGAATTAGTGAACTACTGGTTGGTCAATAGATTAAATTTCTATAGATTTTTTAAAAAAACTATAGAATTTATAGTAAAATCAATAACCATATATATCATACTAAAACATAAAAAAAAACCAAAATTTCTTTGCTTCGTAAAAACTAAGGTGTGGCCAAAGAAAAAAAAAACTAGGATGAAGCTATGGACCAATGGTTTTTAATTATACGCTTTTTTTTCCCAAAATGAGAAGTTAATGACCCTAAAATTAAATCCGAATATATATTATTTCATTAAGTATTTAAGTGCATTGCTGCATTGCACATCAAAATATTAGGGTCAAGACTCAAGAGATATCTTATGAATTTGTTTTGTTTTTATGCGAAAAGATATGATTTTCGTGTTTAGTCACATTGAGACCAAAAAGGCAAAACCCACAAAAACGAGATAAAATAAAAATTCAATCAAAATTTTTTTTGACGTCATTCAATAAAAGTTAAATTTACAATTACATATACTGTACTACGTCGTCTACAAACTAAAGTGTACAGAAACGTGAGATATGGAGAGAAAATAGTCTACCTGAGAATCTTATACGCACGATTTGACCTCATCACTTTCCTTCGCATTTAATGCAGTACTTGTGTGTGTGTGTTTTTTTTTTCTTAATAATATGCAAACCATGTACTGCATTTTATTTTAGTTTTTCTTAATCTTGTGTGTGTGTTTTTTTCTTCAACTTATGGCTCATTAAGTAAAATTAAATTACATCATTTTTTTTTGTCTGTTTTTTTTCTTTTTGAAAGTTATTGGTAATTGTTCTTGAGCTATAAGCCTATAACCCATTAACCCGTTCGTTTATTACACTAACCAAAGTTAAAATATCCAGCAACCAGCCACAGACCCAACCCCATATTTCATATAACAAATTAAACCTTTCTTCTTCGGTTTATGTTTTTGAAAAAAAAAAAAACAAACCAAGAATATATATAAAAAACAAAAGAAAACCCCAAAGAATACCAAAAGATCATCTTCAATTTCAATCAAAGAACAAAAAAAGGAAGAATCTTTGTTTCTTTTGTGTCTCTTTTCATCAAGGTCTATGACGATGCTCTATCACTCGCTTTTTCACCTTCAGTAGTCGCTGAAGACACATAGCTCACGGCAAGAGAGGTACTCTCATCGGTACAAGGCGGCTGAGTAATAGGAGGAAGAGGAGGAGCTGAAGCAGCACTAGCTTGAAAGTGTTGCTTACAATTATGGCAAGTGATTTGCATCATCGTTGCACTAATCCTCCTACTTGCTTCTTCTCTAAAAACCTGAGCTTTGTGGAGCTCAGCCTTGGCATGTTGCCTTATCCTCTTGGCTTCAGCAAACTCTAATTCCGCAATCTCTAATTGCCTCTTGGCTTCTCTTCTCGCCTCTTCTCTTTGTCCAAATAATAAGCTCGTCTCTCCTTTCTCGTAGCTTGACATTGTCGTCTCCATCCCTATAGACAAACTAAGGCTGGTCTCATCAGCACTATTCCGCGATGGAAGTAGCTGAAGCTCGATGCTACTACCAGTAGTAGCGCATGAGCCAACGAAAGGATATAGCAAATCAGATGGTTGTTGATCAGACGGTGGGGATTGTCTTAGCAAAGGATGTCCACGCAATATAGGACCACCCGAGAGGTCTGCGTTTTCGACGGTGGAAGCGGTTTGTGTGGCGTTTGCGGTATTTTGTTGTTGTTGTTGTTGCTGTAAACGGTGGCTAGAGGGTTGAGATCGGCGCATGGTGCAATTGTCTTGGTGCTCTATGAAACTCTCCACTCTGAATCAAGAAGAGTGTATATATATAGTTAAACTAAAATATAAAGCACAAAAGAATATAACAATAATTATAAGTTAGTGGAGTTAGGTATCTTTTGGATTATATATGTATATGATGTATGTGATGCAAAGACTTCGAGTTTTTTTGGTATGGTATATACTTAACAATACACTTAACAAAAGTGCGGTTATGAAATCTCTGATGGGGTCAACGTGAGTTCAAATATCTAATCAAAACATATAGTTCTTAATTATTAAATTAATTAATTAAAAATTGTTTCAGACAACAGTCCAAACATACCACAGCTTCACTGGTAAGCTTTGTTTCAAGATCTGTGTGCAATATCTATAATCAAAACATGTACACGCCATACTAGAAAAAAAAAACATTCTTTGATTTACTTTAAGGATTCCGATATATGTATAAATTTATATATCTCCTATAGATATTTAAATAAAATTATAGAATATCAGTGTATAGTATAGCCATTTTCTAGGGTTTCATAGAAATGGAACCTGGAGAAAACGCGGCCGCAATCGCAAGAATGGCCACGAGTGCCACAGGTTTTGAGATGAGCTTTGTAATCAGATTGAACAGCGTAGCCTTTTGAGCATCTCTCGCAGATCCATTGCTTGTGGTTACTGTGTTTCCTTCGAAAGTGTTTCTTGATTCCCACGAGATCTCCGAGGGCATGACAAGGGTTGTGGTGGAGACACGTCGGCTCTGGACAGACATAGACTCTCTTCTTCACTTCCTCGTTGGTCTCTCTTTTAAGAAGCTTCCATGGAACTTTATGACGTCTCCTGTGCATCTGTAGATTCTGGTCTCTCTGAAACCCTTGGTTACAGATCTCACACACGTACCGATCCGATTCTAGTAACGTTCTTGGAGATAAAGATACCACTTCCGCCTCCGGATCTGCCGCCGCCGGAAAAAATATGATTACTTTCGGATATTGATCGAAGTATTCATTTCGGGAAAAAAAAATCAAAACTTTATCCGAATTTTAACCAAAGTCAATCCTTTTCAAGAATAGACTGAAAACCCCATTTGGAAAAAAATAAACTTGGATGTTTTGGTGCTAAATCCAAAGAAAAATACTTGAATAGAATTGGTACATACCTGGTGTACCGGCGGGTCGGCGTTTCCTCTTCTGGGTCACGGCGGCTCCATTACCGTCGGGAAGAAGATCGGAGGAAGATGAAGACGGAGGAGGATTCCGATGATGGTTGATGTTTTTGGTGTTATTGCTTCTCTCGTAGTCTATCATCGGATGATGTTTTTTTATAATCTCTTCTTTTTGCTGTTTTTGACAGTGTTGGTTTATAGTGGAAGTGTGTAGAGAGGGTACTGTGACTAACGAAAAATAAGAACAAAATTGAGGAATCTTTTGTTTTTCATGTAGAGCAAGAAGGAGAAATTGTTTGTTTTTTTTTTTGGTTTCCTTATTTATTTGGTGGAGAGAGTATCGTGTTTTACATCTTTACTAATAGAAGAAGAAAAGTAAGATGAGTTAAGAGAGAGAAACAAAGGGCTTTGTTTTTCTGAAATCTATCTTTTTTTCATCACTTAAAGGGAAAAGCTTTTCTATTCCCTTTACTCTCCATCTTTTTATAATTTTGTGGGAAAATAAAAAGATGAAAACTTTTTTCAACTTTTTGTTAATTGTTTCATAGACCTCTCACCTTAGATGGAGAAATGCATTGTATGGTCTTTGGTGCTTCAATCTTCTTCAGAGTAGTTATGAACCTCTCTTTCTCTCTCTTCTCTATCTGTACACTGTTTATTTACAAGCACAAACCATATATGCAGTGAGATGTTGTATACATATAAAGAGAGTGGGACAAGGAGCTTGGAGCCCACTTTAGCATCTGGACAAGAAACAAAAAAACATCCCCTTCCACAACAAAACAATTGCAAGTCATTATTATTTCATATCATACAATATTCGATCAGACTGAGTTAGTTTTTTTCTTCCCTTTCTTTCAAGATTAGAAATTAGAAATTAAAAATAAAAGGATAGGTGAAAATTCAAATGGGAATCTTGGAAATTTGATGTTAGAGAGTACATGTTTTTTAATGGTGACAAATGTATGTGTAGCCTTTAGGGCTGGTTTACATATAAAAGAGGGACATGAGAATATTTGTTTGAAAATAAGACACATGCATATACCCAACTCATGTTTCCATATATATACAAATATACAATGCGGTGCCATCATTTCACATATTTTTCTATGCCTTTTTGTTTAAGAAGTAGATTATAATCCAAAGATAAATAATGTATATACTATATATATCCACAAGTGAGAATTGAATCAGAAACATTGCAATGTAATTTCTTCTTACAAGAAACTCTTCTAGTTACACAAAAATACACCTTAGAGTCGGATCTGGGTTTCGAGTTTCAAGCTGTGACCAATGGATTTTATCTAACACATCTCAAACAAAGGAAAAATTATAGATCTGAAATATGTGTGAAGGATTTTTCTTTATAAAAAATACGTCTATAAAGTGTAAGTGTGTGTGTGTGTGTTGTAGGTATAAATAACATATATATTAAAGTCCACCATTTCATTAAAGGGCATTTGTCTAACCAAGTGGAATTGTAAGAAAATAGAAGTAAATACAAAAAAATTTAAAAGTTGAATTTTTTCATTTAAAAAATAAAAAGAGAAACAAAAAGAAGATGATACTTTAATATGAAGAGAAAGGAGAGGGTTGAGTTGGAAAGAATGGGTGGGAGGATGGGGGAGATGGATTCTCATCACATGCAATGCTTTTTTTTGTAAGTTGGATATATATCAATCCTTGACAATCACATTCTTATTTAAGATATTAGTATATAATAATCACCTCTTTTCTTTTTTAAAGAATATCTTTGAATAAAGCATGTAATTTATTTGGAAAAACGAGAGATGAGAAAATCGTAAACAAGTTAAATTATTTACCGCACTTTTTTCTTAAACATCAAAGATTTTGTGCATGTTTTTTTTATAAATACACTTTTTTTACTTGATATCATACCATTTGTTTAAATTACACGCAAAAAATCACACCACTTATAAAAAGTTTTCATTACATATTTTTGTAACTATAAATTTTTCGCATAGTAGATAAATTTATTTGAATGCAATAAGTCAGCTGATCACTCCAATAATAACTTGTTTTTAGTTGTTGACTTGTACTATTTTAGTATCATCCATAATTTGTTTTTCTTTGTTTGTTTAACGAGTAATACTACTTTATTTTTTGGTCAAAACGAGTAATACTACTAAATTACACAAAACAACGTTTTCATGTATATAAAACAAAATAAAACCCGAAAACCCTTTAGTGGAGCTGTGCACTGAAACCCGAGGCATTTGTCTCGTTCGCTCTTGTTGCCATCTGAAAGTTGCAACTTGAAAAGTTAATTGGCATTTTTTAGATTTCACTGAAACCCAAAACGGAGAGTAATGACTTTACGTCGCTTTTTTACTACAGAAACTACATACATGTAAATATAGTGCGTGTTCATGTTAAGCGTAGCTATACGAGTGATTAAAATTTCCCACCCTGTAAAATTTAACTAGTTTCAATGAGTATTCTTAATTATTTGACCCACTCAAAAGATTTGATAGTCTATAAAGTAAAGACTGCATAAATTTTACCAACAAATCAATGGTAAGCAAATGTATATGTCTTATCTTTCCGGTTAAATACAGTATCTGATCCCTGCAATACTATATATATATATATATATATATTGTCTACTAATGCAAAACTTAATTCTATGTATGATTGTAGATAAATATTATTCGGAAGATGAGTTTGATTGATAACTTTTAAGTACAGTGATAAGAAGTGTACCAGCAGTTTAGTGGTTATAAATCATAAAAGCTGAGAATTTTATGAAAACGTCAACGACCTCTTATTACTACAGATCTGAATGTTTGGTCATGTTTAAGATAAAAATAGGCATTTTTTTTGCTACTGAATTCCTCTTCATTTCGGCCAATTAAGATTATAGAAAAGAAAACATATTTCAGCTTAGTTACGTTAAAAATATAGAGTAATTTCTTACTCAACTTTAAACAGAAGAATTTTAAAAAAAATCTACGTTAGATTTTTTTGTTCACTTTCCTCATTTTTCTACCTTTTCTTTTCTATATTTTTACTCTATCTCAATACAAGTGACACCCTATATTTTAATGATTCTAACTAGACAATTTATCTTATTTTTACTGCAATTTTCATTGGTTAATTTTATAACTGTTTTATGTCACTTATCGAACTCTAGGAATCAACAGTAATGCAAAAGAAAATTTTCATTTTGTTAAAGTAATTTACTAAGATCGTAGCTGAAGTATTCCACGAGATTGAGTGATATTGATGTGATAATAGAAAAGCAAGATTTAGGGGGTAAGATTAGATGCGAGATTCGTTTTAGAAAAAGAGAAGTACGAATAAAGGAGGGGAGTACAAGAAAAAAAAAAAAAGAGAGTATTAATTAATTAGGTTTAATTAAGGCGGGGAGAATAGTGATGACAACATGGGAGTTGGACCCTTTGGCTTTTTGCTTTCCAAGTAGTAATGATGAAGAAGTGAAAACCTCTATTGACAACGCATAAAGACTAATTAAAAAAATAAGATAGCTATAATTTTTTTTTGTATAATAATTTATAGAGAGAAAAAAGTGACTTTGTCTCTATGTCATAATCTTCATAGAAAGCATTGCCAAATCTTATGGCCACATGGACGGTGTAAGCCTTTACCCTACTCGCTATTCTCTCTATGGCCTTTACATTTTCTTCATTATTACATCTCTTATATGTAGCTTTTGTATAAATTGTCATCATTATGGTTTTGTTCATCAAAATAGGCTGAGCCTATTAACGCTCACGGATCTATACATATATGAACATGAACCCTACTTTATTTTTCCTTTGTCGAGACATAAGAATGCTTTGTGATCGATGGTAAGTTGCAACTGGTTACGACAATCAATTGGTGCCAAAAGGACGAGTCTCTAGTTTCTGGTTAAGTATATATATATATATATATATATTTTTTTTTTTATATTTAAGTGTTTCTAGTTAAGTAGCTCGGCCAGGGACGTCTTTGTCTTCATTTAAATTTGGGATTTATAAATATAATTTGTTTTTTTTTTGTTCTTTTTTGGGCAATCAATAGAATATGATCAAATAATATATATATATATATAAAGAATACTCCAAATTATATTTCTAGGTTACATTGATTTTAAAAAAAACTACCAATTAAAATGTCTTTGAACATGTCCCAATTAAAAAACTACCAATTAAAAAATTGTGACTAAAAGTCATTTACTTGTGTGTAGAATAAAATTGCTGTACATTTTTTTCCAACATACTAATTATAATATATTATTACAAGAAAACAAAGAATTAGCGACTGAATATAATAACTGATATAATAGTCGTTACAAGTCACGACTCATTAGCGACTGATTTGATTTTATTTAATGACTAATAAATAATAGTTGCAAATCAGTCGTGAATTACTGACTATTAAAAATAATCGTTTTTTAGTCATCAAATAACGACTAAGTTAACGACTAAAAGATAGCAGTCGGAAATTTTCGACTGCATTATGACTGCAACTTTGGCCCAAAATAAACAAAAACGTAATAATTCCAAATCCAGCCCAAAGCAAACACATAACCATTTTCTTCAATCCTTTTTCATTCGAGAAACCTTAATCCTCTTTTCATCTTCAATCTCATTTCAATCGACAAATCCTAATCGTTTAATTTCTTCTTCAATCTGTGTTTAATCTCATCTCCTCTCTCTCAATCGACCTTCAGTTCTTCTCTTAACAAGTTTCCCCTTCCTTAAATCAACAAAATTCCTTTCTATTCCCCAATCTAAACCCTAATCTCAGTCGATAATCTTCGATGCTTGCAACTGGAAAGAAGAGAGGACGAGGAAGAGGAGGAAGGGGAGGTGCATCTTCTTCGCACGCGAGAACTCCATCCCCTCTTCCTAATCGATATGATTTCACTCCGGCGAGGACTTCCAAATCTTCACCACCGCTTGTGCCCACATGCCCACCATCAGTCTCAGTGAGGGATTATCCACCGCTAAATCAACTTTTCCAGCACTCACAGAGTCAAGGTCGGAGCTCCGACTCTCAACCTGTCAACTCTCCATGGTCTCAACCTCGCACCTCTCCACCGCCTGAACCTCTCAACTCTACACACTCTCATCACCGATCCTCTTTAATGTCTGAAGAACAAACATCTCCAGCGTGTGAAGCTAAAAACTCTCAAGCGGGTGAAAGAGCCACCTTTGAAGAAGAAGATCTCTTCCCAGCCAATCTTGTGGAAGACCAGATGTGAATCCTGAATGCATTGCTCATTCAGCCTGGTAGGAAAGCTTACACGACAGTCCTCTCTCCCATAAAGAGGCCAAATACCACATGGTATGCATCTCACTCTTAACTAGTAGCTTTTCTGTGAATTTTATATGAATTTAGGATGTTTATCTTGTGTTTAGATTAGTTTAGGATGTTTAGCTTGTGTTTGTGTGAATTTTGTACGAATTTAGGATGTTTAGCTTGTGTTTAGGTTAGTTTAGGATGTTTAGCTTGTGTTTCAAAGTTTTTGGTGTTTGAAACTTGGGAATACTTGGTCGTATTGTTCACATTTGTGTCTATTTCTTTCATATGAGTCAAGTCTATTACTTTCATATGAGTCACGTCTATTGCTTTGTGACTATTGTTTCAAAATTTTTGGTGTTTGAAACTTGGGAATACTTGGTCGTATTGTTCATATTTGAGTAAACTTGATTTGTTTATGTGATTTTAGGTTTGGTCGTGACAAGTCTTCACTAACCCGCAAGATAACCAAAGTCTTTACCAACCAATTTTATGGCCAATTCTACAGTTGGACATGTGTGCCTCAGGACAGACAGGAACGATACTTTGAAGAATTTGTTGTATAATGTTCCTTTTGTAAGTTTGATTCAATTTTTGTTTTTGGTTTTTGCTTACTAGCTAACTGATATATTCTCTCATGTTATTTTAGAAAACTTACACTTGGGATCCCTTAATAACCGGGGTTGTTCAACAAAAATTTGAGCGTATATACCAACAAAGGATGAAAGATATGGTAAGCAAGGTAAGGTCTTCTCAAGAGCAACCTAATTGGATTGGTGATATTCTATGGGAACAGATGAATGCGTATTGGAACACTGAAGAAGCTAGAGAGAAGAGTGCAACCACATCAGGGGCTCGGATGTCTGAACGTAAGGGTCTTGGTCCTCACATCTACTTATCAGGCCATAAGTCTTATCTCCATATCCAACAAGAGATGGTAAGTACTATATCCTTACCTCATCACTCTATTAAACCTTTCAAACTTTTTAACTCATTTAATGACATTCTTATTATTGTCACTTCAGGAAGAAGAACTGAGAAGACCGTTGAGTCTTGGTGAAGTTTTCATCAAGACTCATACAAAAGCAGATGGTACTTTTTTAAACCGAAAGGCACAGAGCGTGGCTGAAAGGTATCAGAAGAACTTGGAAGCTAGAATGTCTGAACTCAGGACACTAGATGATGATAACTTAGAGGAGCTAACCGTAGAAGAGGAAAACGACCTATTTTCAGGTAATGTATTAGTTTTTTGCTTGCATTTTATGTTTCATAACTCTGCTTTGTATATTTGGATTTGAATCTGTTTGACTCCTTCTTTTGTTGTTGTAGTCGACATTTACAAATTAAAGAGGAGTTCCATATGGAATTGGAAACCTCTCACAGTCGCATGTCAATGGGAAGAGGACGTACTCGGGAAGCTCTTCAATCTATCAAACTCTGCAAGAACAGCTTGATGCAGCTCACCGAAAAATAGAAGAACAAGCAGCAGCGAATACAAGGCGGGACGCTGAGCTTACAAAAGTTTCTGAAGTGCAGCAAGCCAAGGTCAAGAAATTATCCTTGGTCAAGAAGTATTTGGCTAAAACTGATCCACAGTTTTTGGACTTTTTGGCTGCAAATAAAACCTCAGATTTTCCAAATGATGGTCCGATGACTGCTGCTCCAGAAAATGCTGCTCCGGCCTCTTTTTCTAATCCAACCACTCAGCCCTCAGCAGCATAGGTCAAACAACCGCTTCTTCTCTCTCAAATCTTTTGGACTTTTTGGCGGCTATTAGATCTCCCAACTCTTTTGGTCTCTTTTGAACTTAACTCCATGGTTGTATGTATTAACCTTTGGAAGTTATTATCTCATTTTCTATGTTTTATTCACAATGTTCTTATATAATATAATGTTTTAATGGTTTCTTATGCTTTTGCATTCAGAATGAATTCATTTGCAGTTGATTTCTTAATATAAATCTATAATTATATTTAAATTATCAGATTAGGAGGATCAATTCGTAATGCCATAATGCATTTTCATTTATCAAAACAGTCGCAATGTAGTTATCATTCAGTCGTAAATTAGTCTAAAATTAGTCAAAAAACAGTCATTAAATTGCACCAAATAAACACTTAAAAAAGTTAATCAGTCAGTTTTCAGACACTATTACGTCGTAAAATATGTCGTTATTCAGTCGCAAAAATACCGACTGTGTTGCGACTAATTAATGTCAAGCACTAGTAGTCACCAGTCAGTCGGTATTTGGCGACTAATTAACAACTTTTTTGTTTTGCTATGCAATATTAACTACTGATTGTATTAATCGGAATTTGGTCATATATTTATTTTTAGCCACTAATTAGCAACTTTAGATCAGATCGCTAATTCTTTGTTTTTTATAGTGTATGGTTTACGTGTCCAATCTGCTAAAGCGAATTGTTATAAATTATTTTATATGTAAAAAATCTCAAGGTCGCTGAATTTAAAATAAATTAGTTTACAAACAAACCATGAGCAAATAAAATAAAAAGTAACAAGACTATGAGATTTTTTGGTGCGCGACCCCATTCACTAATTTTTTAACTTGATTAGAAAAATAACTGTCGTAAAAATGTTCAAAGGCTGTAAAATCGCCATGATTCAAAAATACACAAATTTGTTATTGTTTGAATAACTATAAGTCTGTAAGTAAGTTTCCTTCTTTTTTTTTGTCGTAGTCTGTAAGTAAATAATATTGTTTTGTTGCATATTTAAAGCGTTTAAAGAGTAATTAACGGTGTTGATAGGAATATGGGATCGATGCTTGTACAACATTGTGGAATATATTTTAAAATAATATTTTTGGCAACAGATTATAAACTGTTAATCTTTTTGTTTTGCTCAATAATATAAATCTGGTCGGGGACGTATTATGAGAAAGTACTAGTCTCTAAAAAGTTCGAAACTTATGGTACATCCTTAAAGTCTTTGCTTTGGCCATACCATTTTATGATTGATAGCGATTTTTCATCGGCCTTATTGCTTTCTTTACAAATATTTCTTATCAAATGAAGTCAACAGACACATATGTACATAGAGAAACATCATTAGCCTTCCTTAATCAAAACAAAAAGAAAAATTTAAGTATGCTTTTCAAGTGGATTAATTTAAATTGGAAAAAATCTAGTTAAGAGGTTATCTATACTATAAAACTTGGCCAATTTTCTCCAGCTGAGTGACATATCAGCACGAATGACACATGTCCAAAAATTAATTCTGTTATTAATACATAAATAAAATTTAATTTTTATTATGTTAAAAATATTAAATCATTAAAATAATATAAACTAAATTCAAATTTAAATTAAACATCACAATGTATAAAGCAAAAATAATTTTAAATTTTAGTTTTGTCTGCTATTTTTTTTATATGATTTATTCATATTTTTAATTAACTCAGATAATTTATTTATAAAAAGTAAAGAAAAATACTATTAATAAAACCAAAAATGAGAATAATAAATTAAGAAAATTTCAAACAATTGAAGAACAAGTTTTTTAGAGTTAGAAAACCACAAAACGCAAAAAAAAATTATTAAACAATTGAAAAATAATAAATTATAAAAAATAAAGAAAAAATGACAAAAAAGAAAAGAAAAAAAACATGATAACAAATTAATAGAATCAATAAAATATGTGAAAATAGAACATGAATATGGTAAACTGCAGAAGGTAAAAATGATTAAAAAAAAGTTATGAAAAAAAAAGATAGGTTAAAAATTTTAAACAACTAAAGAATAAGTTTTGAGATTGTTAGATTGAGATTTTAAAATGATTGTTAGATTGAGATTTTAATAAAAAAAATTAAAAAAATACATAGAAAATATTATTAGGTTCATAAAAATATTAAGGAAATCACAAAAAAAAAATTGATAACTAAACTAAAAAATTAAAAACATAAATAAAACAGAATCCGTACTCCTAATTTATATAAAACGTTATAAGTCAGCTTTATAAATTATGCGAGCTTGACTTTGTAAGGCGAAGTGGTAACAGTAACACAAATCATAAGATTACGCACACAAGTCATAGTATTTTCGTTTTTTTTATTTTAACAATTTTATAATCTTTGATGGTGCGGAAATTCAAACCAATTTGACATCAAGAATATTATAAGATATAGCCAGCATTTTGTACTAACACGTCTGAATTATTATTCAAAATGCACATAATGAGACAAAAAAATGAGTGAATAATTCCTTACTTTTCAAAAATTCCTCTAAATTAATTAAGAAATTAGATTTTAATTCCGTGCATCCGCACGAAAATTTTTCATTTTTTATTTTTATAAAATTTTGTAATATATTTTTTTTATTTAATGTTTATAAATATTTTTTTTTAAAAACCATTTAGTTTTTTCTAAATCAATTTTTTTTATTATCATGTTTGAATAAAAGTATGAGTTAGTTATGTATATATCGATGTTATGTTAATTGTAAACTTTTATTATCATGTGAATTTAGATTACCACACATGGTACACAACCAATCTATATATTTATGAGTATTAAAATAGGCTAACTCGTTTGTTTAATTGCATCAAATAATTTTAATATCTTACATGTTTTGACAAACTGATATATATATATATATATATATAAGACAATAATTATAAAAAATAACCCTAACATGCTCAATCATATTATTGTATAATATAAATTTTTACTAATTTTGAATATTTGAAAGTTCAGGCTCATTGATTATGATAAAAAAATACAATAACATATTCATTTTTATGATCCGCTAAATATAAATTAATACCCAGTTATTAAAATTCTCCTATTATTTTTTTTGTAAAAAATATAAAAAAGGATTTTTTAATCTTTGGTAAATAATTTATTCAAGGAAATCTAAAATTATATAAATTAATATCTAAATTTTTGGAATTAAATATAAATATAAAATAATATGCTTTTTTTAATTAATACAACAATTATAAAAACACAACCCAACCAGTCCGATTATATTATTGTATGATATAAATTTTTACTATTTAGAATATGTAAAATTCTAGACTAATTGATTATGATAAAAAAATACAATAACATATCATTAATCATATGCGCTATTGAAAGTCTGGACCTTTTCAGCAATTCCATCAGCTCCCGAGTTATTCCTGTTACCCTCTATTTAGGTAACATCAATCATCTGTTCTGGAGAGCAAAGGATCATGGAGCTAGAGAAGATGACTTACATGTTTTCCGTTGGATGATGTAATTGAAAAGTTTTTGAAAAGTTTTTGACAATGTTGACAATGTTGAAGAATCCCCTTTAGATACGCTTAATCATGCGATAAGTGAGGAAGAAGCATGGCGAAAAACACATTTGCTGGAAGAGACATCGGCTGAGCCCAGAGCGTTTATTACTCCACCTCATCTCCTATTGTGATGTGGTGGTGGTATGTGGGTTGTCAAGTTTTACCCTAAATGAAATCAATAGCCGCAAGTGCAGAGCTGATCGATTGTAGTACTTAGGGATCGAATCCACAGGGAAGGATGATCTTTTCCTGCAAATAAATATAAAGGAAGGAAGTGTAGAACCAAACGGTTTTGTGGGGGTTTGTTTAAAATGTAAAAACGAAATCTAAAAAGAAACTACGGGAATTAAATGGCCTAATAACTAAACTTAACGAAAATGAATAAAAATGAGAAAAAGCGGATATTCTAATTACTTAAATGAAAATCTACTAAAAAGGAATGACAATATTGAACTAAAGCTTGAAAAAAAAACGGTGTAAATCTATAGGAAATAAAACGTTGGGGTTCAGGGAAGTTTTCTCAAGGGTACGAACGATTCAAAACATTGCTAGAGAGTAAAATTGATAAGATCTTAGCTTAAACTTTTCGAACTGGAGTCACGGACGTATGAATACGCCACTGTCGTGATCATAGACAACTATCTCTCTCAACCCTGACCAGTAGGTTTCCACTCTGGCCCTGGAAGAGAAGGGATGCATTATGTTTAAGACTCGTCAGCATTCACAAATCGCCCATAGGTAGGTTTCCACTCCTATGGTTGTCTTGCTCTCCCAAAATAGATCTGACACCGGATGAACACTTTCGTGTCACCAAGCATTTGGATCAGATTGTAGTTCATGACGCTACTCTCATGCAGTAAAAACGAATTCAGAAGAAAAAGTTTTAAGATTCGGCTCAAAAGCTCATGGAATCCTCATCGAACATATCAATCCCCATCGAAATCCCTTAATCCCAACAATAAAACTACTCAGACATAACAAACGAAATCAAAAATATTGTATTAATAAGTAGAATAGAAACCGAAATTGAAAAAGAAAGAACAAGGGTTCAAGAGAACAGATCTCTCTCTCCCTAAAAGCTAAAGCAAAAACATTAAAAGTATGAAGTAATAATTCGGTTCTCCTCTTTTAGGGTTCCTAAAACATGTATTTATAGTGCTCAAGACATCTCTGGACGTCACTTAGGGTTTCTCCAAATGAGGGAATCATTGTGGGCTTCAGAAATGGGCCTTCGGGCTCGGAGTTGGCTGGCCGCGGTCGGGATGGCTGTGACCGCGGGGAATGGACTGCTGGCCGCGGTCGGGATGCTTCTGACAGCGGGAAATGGCCTGTTGGCCGTGGGTGGAAATGCTTGCCGGCTGGTTTACGGGACATCTTGCTTTTCGCGTATCTATTGATTGAACCGTTGGATTGTCAAGCTGTAAAGTGTGCTGGAAAGTTGATACTTCCATCTTTAAGGTCTCCAAATTTGAGCTGGATCAGACGGTGAGAAGGCCTTCAATCAGGGGTGAACTTCTGACGGTTTGACTCTGAGCTGAAATTTGGTTTTCTATCCATTTTGTTAAGTTTTTCCCTAAGTTACCTGAAAAGAGTTTTGGAACAACAAATACTAGAAAAACGTAATAAAAGTACTTAAAAGCAATAGAAAACATAGAAAAAGTATTTCAAAATGATCCATAAAAGTGGTCAAAATACGGTGTTATCATATTGTCGACTACCTATATGCCGTTTTGATGGCTCATGGGTGAGACGGGAGTGACTAGCGGACATGGATGGATTGTGACTCAGGGGGACATTGTGATCTCCATGGGGTTAAAAGGATCACATTGGAGCTTATCCTGTTGCATGTTGAGTTGGAATCTCTATTGTGGGCTATGAGTTGTATTATGGAGTCCTCCATATGCTGTAGCTGTTTTGTTACAGATTGTTCTGATCTCCTTGCTATGACGGAAAGCCCAGAGGACTGGCCAAACTTTGCATCATAACTTGAATATTTTAAAATCTTTAAAGCATCTTTTAGTTTTTTTAGGATTTTTCATGCACCACGTAGAGAGAATATCCGTGCGGATTACCTTGCAAAGAAAACAAAAGCACGAAGTTTTAGTTTTTTCCCATGTAAGTTCGGTTGCTCCGGATTGACTTTCCCTAAATGAGAATCTTGTACCGAATATTTAATGAAATAGTGTTTTTGAGGTTAAAAAAAAAAACTCCATCATCCTAAAATGATCAAACTACACCGCAAATATTAACCAGTCTTCTCAATTGTTAACTATATAGATTAAATCTAAACATTCTTTTTCAAAAACAATCCTAGTTATGGAAACTGAATTCAAACACTTTATCGTTCATAAGAACGTGTCTAGTTCTGCATCGTGGGGTGAGAGATTTTGCTAAGAATCCTTTTCGACTTAGATAAAATATTATATGTTGTAAGCTACGATCCAACTATGACCATTCAAGTGATTCGATTCCTTCCAAGGGTTATCAATTTGATAACTTAGAATTGTGAGTCCTGTGTGACCCTAGACAAATTCTCTGTTGTCTCCTTCACATGTTCCATGTCTTCTTTCTGAATCTCCGTTCTAGAATTAGCTAACTTCCATATTTCCATTTCGTTCTTGCATGTTAATTATTAAAATGGTTAGATGATACATTTTATATAGCCTCATAGGTGTAAAGCCCATCTTAACAATACTTCTCACCTCTTATCAAAACCAAATAAAACCTTTTCATCGTGTGCATTGGAACTAAAAATAGTAGCTAAAATCATATCATGATCCAAACTTATATCTGAAGAGTGATGATACTCAACCTTTGAATTGACAAAAAAAAAAATTCATCTAAGTATATCTGATAGCTTTATTTATTTATTTTTGTCGTCCTCTCCACGACAAACATGGATAATGAAATTCGAACATACACAGTGCCCAATCAAAAGCTTAAATTGAGGGATTAAATAGCAAATTATCTTACTTTTCATGATTACATTTTAGCTCACTTAGTCATTATTATCAGATCATATCATTGTTAATCTCTTCTACATATTCTCACGTATTTTAACCACAAGATCTTTATAAACAGAAAATAGAAACACTTTAAATCCTTGTAAAACCGTTTCCACACCTAAAACGTCGTAGTTAGCAAATAATGTTATGACTAAAAATGTTCACAATAATAAAAAATGTTTATAAAATAGATTAGTATACTTGTATGAGATCGAGCCATATAGGATTCGTTTTGCATTTTGTTTTGGAAAAATTGACACGCCCCTTGGGGTTTTTATATTAATTAATCCTAGATTTGCTTACTCAGTCTATATATAATAATAATGGATTTGTTCACTCACTCTATATATAATATTCTCATATACTTGTTATTTTTGTAATATATTAATAGGCTACGACAGACAAAAAAAGAAGAAGAGAATATGTATCTTAAAATTACTAAAATAGAAAATATAGTATCATTCTCATCCTTTCTACCGTCTCCCACCGTCCCCTCCGTTCTCTCTCTCTCTGAAAAGGAAAGAAAAAAAAAATCTAAAAGATCCATTTCACCATCCTCGGTAAGTTTCCTCTCTCCATTTGATTAAATATTTTTGTATTTGTACTCTTCCCCTCCTCTTTTTCTCCATTGACGACGTATCTCTCTATGCTTATGTATAAATTTATTATATCCCTTTTGTTATGTACCTGCAAAAAATGTTTAGATTGCGGAACCCTAATAAATCCTATTGACGAATCTTACGAAATTTCTTATGGAATCCTTTAATTTGGTTGGCTTTTTAGCTCTTGGACTCAGTTGGAATTCCAATTTTAGAACTTTTGGATTTCATTTTCTCGCAGAAGACCTAAAGTCCTTCTAAAAAAAAAGTTGCGTGCTTTTTCCCTGGAAAATTTCGACGATTGTTGATTGAAATTATCTAATGTTAACTTGAACATAAGTGTTTTAGATTCTACATTGAGAACCCAGATGCAAAGTTAAGATCTTTTGACAAAAAAACGTGTGTTTTGTTTGCAGAAGTTTAATTATTATGATGGACGAAGATGGATTGAGCAATCGAAATTGGGGATATTACGAGCCGTCTCAGTTCAGGCCGAATTTAGGGTTTCAACTAATACCAAGCATCATAGACCGAAACGAAAAACCATTTCTCTGCCCTCAAAATCCCAACTTGATAACACCCAATAATGGCTATCGTGGTGGCAGCAGCAGCAGCAATGTCATGTCGTTTCCACGCGATTACACTGTCTCCGATGCACCTTTCATGAGCTATAGCTGGTTAAACCAGCACAGAGACAGCAAGTTCTTCAGCAACTCACCTAATAATCCTTCAAATCACCACACTTTTCTTGTTCCAGACACTTCCAGGACTCAACCGATGCAGCTTCTTCAGATTCCTAAACCAGAGTTTAGTGAAGTGGACGAGTCTCTCAAGAGAAGGCATTTCAGTGGCGGGGAGAGAGCTGGTCCAAAGGCGAAGAAAGAGAGGAAGTTGAAGGATAGCAATGTCCCGAGAATGCAAAGAGAGAGAAGTCCTTTGAGGAAAAGCATAGAGATGGTTGTAAATGGTGTTTCTATGGATATCGGATGTTTACCAGTTCCGGTTTGCTCGTGTACCGGGATGGCTCAACCGTGTTACAGGTGGGGTTGTGGTGGTTGGCAGTCTGCTTGCTGTACAACCAATGTTTCGATGTATCCTTTGCCAATGAGCACCAAAAGGCGTGGAGCTCGTATCGCTGGAAGGAAAATGAGCCAAGGTGCTTTTAAGAAAGTTCTTGAGAAACTATCTGCTGATGGTTTTGATTTTTCAAGCCCTATTGATTTGAAGTCTCATTGGGCAAAACATGGAACCAATAAGTTTGTCACCATCAGATAAAAATCCAACCTTTGTTTGTTCTTTAGAGTCTGAATCAAATTTTGGTTTGACCCATTTGTGTCTTAATGGTTCAGTCTCAAGCTATGTACTTTGAAACTCAGAATCAAACTCGGTATGAAACTCAAAATGTTCCTCTTTTCTTTGAATTTACTCAAGATACTGGCAAAAATTGTGTTTATGTACAGAACCAGAACCAGGTGAAAAGAAAACAAAAATTTCAATCTCGTCCAGATTTTGTTTGTTCTCACTAGAACGTTATCAAATCTGGCATCGAGTATTCAATATAAACTGGTTGGTTCGATACCACAATAGGAAGAGGATTTTGATGTTCTTTAATCGCTTTTTCGTCATGGAAACAAAAGTCGTCTTCGAAAATCTCCCATTTGTCTGTGATGATTGTCTGCAATCTCGGTCTCTCCAACACTATCATTGCTTTCTCTTCCTCCATTACTTCTTCTTCTTCTTTCTTTGACTCATCTTCGTCAACGTTCTTGATCATTTTCTCGATTGCTTCTACTTCCGCCTTTGGTATACTGACGAATTGAGGAGTATCTCTCGCGTTTGAGACACCGAATCCTTTGCAGAAGTCGAAATAGAGAGCGAGATCTTCTCCCTGAGCCGTTGCCTTGTTGATGATCTTGAGAGTTGTGGCGGCGTCTGTTTTGCCGGCGTTTGGAAGGATTTTGATAACGCCGCTGCATATTCTACCGTAGATGTTGATACTCTCGATCACTATACAATCCATGGCTTCTAGTATCAACGTCCTCTTCATGTTATCAGCAATTGGCCGGATCTGAAAGATCAAATCAAGGAGAGACTGGAGTTTCTGGATCCGATCGAGCTCTTGGATCACGGAATCGGATTTCTCCAATCTCCGATTCGTGCGGTGACGGTAGATCTGATCGGATAAGAAGGAAGAGTAGCTGTGGAGGAAGGAGAAGTAAGCGCGAACGAAGATGTTGAATCCCCAGGTTTTGCTGAGACAGGAATGTCCGTCGGAGAAATCGGAGAGATCGAAAGGAAGACGGCGGATTTCGCCGACGACGGAAGGGACTTTGCAGCAGAGAACGCCGTGGAGGAGCATTAGGGATTTGAGAGCGACGATCCAGCTGCGCGTGTGGTTGACGCGCGAGGAGAGCGCGTGGATTAGGGTTTTGAGGTTGAGAGGAGAAGATCGGATCCATTTGTAGACGCGGTGGGCGTTTGAGTAGTCGACGGAGGAGTCGTCGTGGGAGGTTGCTTTGATGACAGCTGCTTCGAGATCCGCGTTCCGGTATGAAGTTCGCCGTGAGAATCCGACGGCTAATAAGCTTTTCCGGTCTTTTATTGCGGCGGCAGCTCGTTTCCACAGCTTCATCTTCAACCTCCCTCCCTCCTCTCTCTCTCTACCTCTCTCTCTCTCTCTCTCTCTAACTCTCTCTTCTTCTTCCTCGAGAACAAAATCTCATCTCTGTAAAATGTTCTTTCTCTATTTTGAGTTCTCTTCTTCCTTCACCATCCGTTACACCGTTGTAACCGCTCCTTTTTCAAAAATCTTTAAAAAAAAAAAAAAAAGCTGGCACGTGTGACCGGCTTGCGTTACGTTACATTCGTGCATCTCTTTAAACCGAACCAAAATCGTATAAAATGTCCTAAAACCAAATTGAACCGAAATAGAAATAAACCGAATTGGTTACTGTGGCTTATATTGCTGCTAGTTTAGATCGTAATGAGCATAAGTTTGTGTTTATAAAAATGTCTAGTTTTCAATTGAAAGAGTTAAGAACTGGGTATAATATTCTTGTAACCCAAGTTCTTGGGACCTCTATATCGGTTTACAAAAAAAAATATTGTTGTGAGAGATTCATTCAAGAAGAGAGATGCCAAGGGCAACGCTCATGCCAAGAATCAAAGAAATCAAATGACACGCACTGTTTTTTAGTGTCGATTTTCCAGAGTTGTTCATCTCCGCAAGAACACCAGCAACAGCTATGTATATGAATCCTCCCGCTGTGAATCCCTGCAAAAAGATTTCAATAAAAACATTTAGATGTTAATCAATGCCAAGCAATGCAAAGTGTATGTCATTTTTAATACCTCAATCAACGATGACTGTCCCGGTTCATTTCCCCAGACCAAAACCTGTGGCCGAGACAAATAAATATCACTTGAGATAGCTTACTTTCAATGTTTCTAGAGATCTGCCAGGTTTTTTCAAGCTGTATAAAGATATAAAAGACTTGCCAATGCAGTTCCTGCAAGTGCGACGAGTGCAGAGAGGAAGTTGAAGAAGAGTGCTTTTGTTACAGTGAAGCCTGACCTCACTAGAATCCCAAAATCACCTATCTGCAAGTATTATCTTTTGAGAAGTTAATTTGTTGCTATACAGAATTTCATTGTTTTGTTTAGGAAGGAGAGTAGGGACCTCTTGGGGAAGCTCGTGGGCAAGTAAAAACATAGTTCTTGACCATCCACCAACTGATCCGTAGATGAGAAACGCACTTCCTAACGCCATTCCATCAGTAAAATTGTGCTGCACAACAAATTCTCGTCTTCTCAGATGAAGCATCTCTTTTTGCAATCTTTCATCGTTCCAAACAAAGCTACTTCTTTAGTAAATAACAAAGGAGCACGTACTTACAACACCATCAGAGAACAAGTTGAGGTAACCAAAGACTAGGCTTGAATGCGTCTCCACCTGTTCTGATTTGTCCAATTTCCCATCAGATGTAATTTCTGCGCCTGAATCTGATTTATCAGCAGCATCAACCGCAGAAGTCTTTCTCTGCAAGGAACTTACAGTTCATAATATGTAGTTTGCCCAATTAGGTAAAGTAACTCAGTAACCACAACGCGTTACCAGATTAACTATGCCAGAGACTGATCAAACAGAAGTTCTACCAAAACTAATTGTTCCATGTTCTTTGCTTACTTATTGAATTCAACTAATACTTATCTACCGCAGCTGCATAGAAAAACTGGTTCTCACCTTACGGAGAGATCCATCCTTAGAGTCGCTAGAGACTTTCTCTGATGAATTTAAAGCTGCATCAGAGGAAGATTGTTTGTCCACGTTGTTATGATCTTCATCTTTCAGTTTCTTACTGCCTGCATGGTGGTGGTGGTGATGATGGCCCCAAGTATTGGACCCAGACGAGTTTTCTTCGACATACCGCACCAACTTCTCCACAAGAAGGAAGACCACAATCCCAGCTGGACAATCAATAATGATGGTCGAGTTAAAGTGTAAGATCTGTGTTCAACAAGCAAAAGAACAAGTGTTTTGATACTTACCGAGAACAGACAACCCAACAGACAGATCTTGTATAGAATGTGAGTGTGAAGGCGAATCCGAATGAGAATGATCATGATCATGATGGCCATGGCTCTCATGGTGATCATGAGAGTGAGAGTGACCACCACCTGCCACACAATAGTTTATGGACTTCAAAATATATATCTTGGTACCGAATTGAAATTCACACCAGTACAACAACAAGGAAACAAACAAAAAAAAAGAGAAAAATGAAATGAGAAGGTTTAAAGCCAATTCATGGAACAATGCAGATACTAAAAAGAGATCAGATAAGTGTATCCAATACTGTACCAAAAGCATGGGGCAATTGGTGTAGAAAAGCATCCCCCAACATAGCTCCTGCCTGGTAAACAAATAAAATTCAATTAATCGAAACTATTTCAAGTAGCAAACAGATCATGCACACATGCCAAAAGATGAATTTGTGACGAAACGTGGCGTATAGAGATCGCTAAATCAAACATTTTCAAGATTTCAAAACCATCACCGCCACAGAAAAGAAGCTAGTGTTGCAAAATAACCAAATGGCGTACCCCAAAGAGAGCCAGCGCATCAACAAACCATTTTGATGGCTTCCCTTTCACTGTAAATAGAAACATAACTTGGTTACAACGAAAGACCTGAAACAGCTACTCTCATGAGCACGTAGCACATGAATACACTAGAGAGGTAACATTCTTGGTTCATAGGGATACAAATTACATGTATCCAGAGAGATTTGCTTACCAAACATAACTGGCAGCAAAACCAAACAGATGAGTGAAGCCAAGCTAACCAAAAGAGAGCATCCCAATGCATTAATCCACAGTGCTGCAAACAAACAAACAAAAAGAAGAAGAAGAATCTAATCATCACAAAAAAAAAAAAAAAAATTCATTCACTCGAGACAAATGCCAAAAGGGGGATTTTGTAGCATTTTCTAAAATCATGATTCCTCCATGAATCTGTAAAATTCAAAGAATCAAATTACCAAATCCAGAGAGACTAGAACTGGATTCGTGATCGTGATCGTGACCATGATGAAGACAAGGACCAAACCCACACAGCCTCATGTCCTCTTCCTCGGCAAGCTCCTCCGGCAACTTCATCTTTACCGGCTCCGTCTTCACATGATGATGATCGTGATCGTGATCATGCGAATGACTACACCCACCTCCGTGATGATGCACGTGATCCTCACGCGCCGGCGTTGACTGAGAGAATCCGGTTTCTACGCACAGATCCAGACACAGACCCAAAAGCAGAAACGGAACCACGAGCCTCGTCAGCGAGAGCGACATCTAAGAGTCTCCGTCAAAATCAAATGCAAGAACTACGAAGAGCGGCGGTTGGTGCAGCAGGTGCCTTCAATGGTGATGAAGCAGACGATGCAGAAGCAGAGAATGATAATTCCGACTATGATTCCGAAAGTGACCACATCCATTTTGTAGTAAAACCTTACAACCTTTTTTTAATTTGTAATTTTGGCCCAGTGTTTCAAAATCGAATAGAAAAACCCTTCTCTCCGGTTTCAGTGGGAGAGAGACTCGTTGACTATCAGGTCAAACCTTCTGGATGCTTTGGAAGGTCTCGAGTATCTCTCCCATTCATCAAAGTTCATCTTCATGTTTCATTTTCTACCATGTGTATGATTACATAAACTTCCATGACGTGACTCATATTAATTTTTGAATTTAAAAAATAATTATAGAATGTTCTTGAATAAAATAATTATGGTTCTACGCCAATATTAATAGTGATAACATGGCCCTGCGATCTCTTTCGGAAAACTCAAAACAAAATTTGCCATATACTATACATATGGTATTTTTTATTTTTGAATGTGAACGTAAATAATTAGGCCCAAGAAAAAAAATACTGTGTTTAAATTTTATGCATCAAAGCATTCATCGTCACATTTGGACGAAACAGAGGATTCAACTCCTGAAACCAAGGTCTAATGTCCACTTCCTTAATTTGCAGATTTCAAGGCAAAACACAATCTTCCCTAAACAATTAAACATCCACAATTCACCACCACCAACAACAACAACAAAAAACAAAAACAAAAACCAAAATAAGATCAAGAAAATACCAAAAAACAAACAAACAAACAAACAAGAACATAAGAACATAAGGACGATTTAGAGTTGTACAATATCTTTAGAGGAAGAAATAAAAAATGGCAACAATGAAAATACCAATGACGGTACCTTCTCCTCGAGTCGATGCTGACCAGCTCTTTAAGGCCTTCAAAGGTATGGTTAGAACTTAATTGGTTGTTTAATAACGTATAATCATACAATCATGTGCATGGAATTTGCAGGAAGAGGTTGCGATACTTCGGTGATCATCAACATTTTAGCTCACCGCAACGCAACGCAACGAGCTCTCATCGAACAAGAATACGAAACCAAATTCTCAGACGACCTACGAAAACGTCTCCAATCCGAGCTTCACGGTCATCTCAAAGTAAAATACAAAACTCTTAACAAGAATCGTTATTCATCTAAAAAAAAATGATTTATTACGCACAAAAATGGTTGAAGACGTTTTTTAAAATTTTATTTCAGAAAGCGGTTCTTCTGTGGATGCCTGAAGCAGTGGAACGAGACGCTTCAATACTGAAACACGCATTGAGAGGAGCCGTGACTGATCACAAAGCTGTGGCCGAGATCATATGTACAAGAACTGGCTCTCAGCTTCGTCAGATCAAACAGGTTTACTTCAACACTTTCGGTGTCAAACTCGAACAAGACATCGAATCTGAAGCTTCCGGCAATCACAAAAGAGTATGTCTCTGTCTGATCAACCATCTTGATTGAGATAGTATAATATATACATTGACAATGTATATGTGTAATATAAACAGGTTTTGCTCGCTTATTTGAACACTACACGATATGAAGGACCAGAGATCGATAACAAGATCGTAGAGAATGATGCTAGGGTTCTCAAAAGCGCCGTTGCGAGGAAGCGTAAATCCGATGACCAGACTTTGATTCAGATTTTCACAGACCGAAGCAGGACTCATTTGGTCGCTGTTAGATCTACTTACCGTTCCATGTACGGCAAAGAACTTGGAAAGGTATAATCAAGCAAGAATAAGAAACTTCTCACTCAAGAAACCCTACACAGTTCATACCGATAACAAAATTTTCTTCAACTTTCTTGTTCTCCAATCTTGATAGGCGATAAGGGATGAGACTAGAGGGAACTTTGAGCACGTTCTTTTGACAATTCTACAATGTGCTGAAAACTCTTCTTTTTATTTCGCAAAGGTAAAACCTAACTTCATGTTTCTTAAACCACAAGGCATCGGTTTTTCGGGTTTTAAACATGAGAACTGAAACCGCAGGCGCTGAGAAAATCGATGAAAGGGTTAGGAACAGATGATACGGCGTTGATAAGAATGGTGGTGACAAGAGCAGAGGTGGATATGCAGTACATCGTTTCCGAGTACCGTAAAAGATACAAGAAGACTTTGTACAATGCTGTTCATTCTGATACAACTGGTCACTACAGAGCTTTTCTCCTCTCTCTTCTAGGTCCCAACGTTTGATCTTGTCTATATATACCAAACATTCACATTGATTCTTGGGCTATTTTTATGTATCTGTATTTTCTTGTTACAATCTTGAAAGGGAAAATACAATATGTTTCTATGTAAGTTTCCATCAAAGAGGGAGGAATAAAAAAACAGAAGAGATCCAATAGCAGAAACGTTTATAGATAAAAAAAACAGAAGAGATCTAATCGACTTTATGTATAGTCTGATACGTTTTCCATTGAGGCAAGGATGATACTAGCTCCTTGTGTAGCTTACAAGTATACTCTTCCCAAGAGGTAATCGCAGGTGATATATCCGTCAAGTCAAGTGAATCCTTCCTATCCCCATTGGAGCATGAATGTCCAAAAATTGTGGTTACGAGGCCCTCGTCTGGCAGGAAAACTGATTTCAGGGCATTGATAGTTTCCAAATGCGGTTGGGTCATAGCTTTCACCTCTTCTACAGTGTCATTTTCGACATTAGAAGTTTTGAGTTCAGAAGCTTTCCAATGGTAGAACTGAACAACCTGTTATCCAACAAATGGGAAAGAAAATAGAAAGCATTTGATTATACATGACCAAAGAAAACCATTTTAACAAGATATTAACTATGTAGCCATGAGCACAGGGTTATGTAGCTATACGGACCAAAAACCCTTATCTGCGACTGATAACAAGGTCCGGTTCAATGTAAAGTGTGCAACTCATCACTCAAGGCCTTATGTAAAAGTCGGCTAAACATATGAGTAAGAGAAAGTACCTGAAGAGCATGAAGAATGTTCTTAAACTCTCTGGTGAGCAACTCTCTTCCTTTAGCTATTTGTAGTGGCCCCATGAGTTGTTCAGAGGCCTCTAGAGAATGATCTTTGTCTTGTAAGCTATGTAACTCGAAATCAAGAAGATGCAACCTCGCAACGCAGATTTCAAAACCTATGTTTTGATTAGCCTCTTGATGAGGACAGAACCAGTACATGTTAGTAGATGCAGGCAAAGGAAGGCAAAATCTATGTGATGATAATGTGCATTGGGAAAGACGAGAAACAAGCTTAGAATCCTCGTCATGAGATGAATCCCGGCTAAACCACAGTGCAAGTGTCAATCTTTCTCCATCTGTTACCTGTGAGGTTCCATTAGTTAACTTATATCTACATGGAAGATATTAAAACAAACAAAGAAGGAGGCGAAACCTCATCAACCGAATGAATATTCCGGTCATCAGCTGTGTACATGATAACATCCTGGTCAAGACACAAAACTCATTATCCAACTAAGAATCTTGTGAAAAATCCGAGAAGTAACAATTGATCCAACTGAGAAAGGACATACTTACTCCAGCCGAAGGAGCAATAGTTGCTGGTTCTCCACTCTGAAAACGAAAAAGCCCGCCTTTGAATTCTTTCCCGTAGCTATTCAAGTAACAAACTGCCTTCAAACCAACTAAAAACCAAATTCATTTACATAAACCTCGTATCGGGAATGATCATATAGGTTGAGTGAACACGAACCGCGAAATCCCTTTGTTTCAGATACTGTCTGTTATCATCACTGTGCCACCCAATGCTAGCTCCTCTGCACCAGCTGATTCAAGCTCAAACAAACAAAAACAAAACATTTTTCAGTTTCTTATTGGCTCTTCCTCTAAATAAGTGGAGAGGAAAAGCTACTTATTTACCTAATTAAACCTGTGAATTCGATAAACAGCTCATACTCACACCCAAATGTTTCCTCCATTTTCTCTTTCAACCTTTCTGTTTTACTCAAAACGCAATCAGATCATCATCAAAAAGGGCTGTAAATTCAGAAAAATGTGGAGGACTGACCTCGAATGGAGACGAAAGGGATAATGAGGTGAGGAGAATTGGTGGCGATGAGGTGAGAGAGAGTGGTGGAGAAGACATTTGGTCTGTACCCGACCGTACTGCAACTCTTGTGTATGAACTCGAGCTCCTTGCACTCTTCCGGCGAGAGGAAATTGTGCAGAATCAGCCTTGGGTGCTCTCTCTCCCCCTCCGACATTTCTCTCCGTTTCGACTATAAATTTAAAATCGGACTCCGAAAAACGAATCCGGATCGAATTGCTTGATTTGGGTTTTACGCTTTGAGTCTCTGCTACGTGAAAGTTTTGGCCTTTTGGGTCTCCGAGTTTAGAGAGTGTATCGGAATCGGAATAGAAGTAGGAGAAATATATCGGCAGTGAAGTCTCGACGAATCTAAAGAAGAAGACCAAAACCTCTGAACGAAATGGAGTGTCTCTGAAATCGAAACACTGCGTTTCAATACGTTATGACTTATGACTCACCGATTTACCAAATGGTCGACATCTTTTTGTTTTTGTCTTTCAACAACCAAATCAAATCAATCTCTTTTTAACTACAGAAATCTAGAGATTACAGAGGAAAACAAAGTATCCATCTTTCGCTATTTTGACCTTCGGTTTCTTACTTTTTTGAGTGGTGGGTACAAGAAACAACAAACCCTAGATTTATCTCAAAATCTCAGACGGATTCGACCATGTCTGAATCTCCTTCCGGTTCACCAACCATGTCCGACTCAAACACACCGCTTCTCCGCTCTCGACAAAACTCGCCGAGACGCCGACAGCCTGTAATCGCGGTCCTGTTAGGCCGAGCTTCCGGTCGGCGAGGGGCTTCGATGGTTGTAAGAGAGACAGCTGCTCAGGAGCTTGAGGATCGACGAGCCGATTGGGGATACTCTAAACCCGTCGTGGCTCTTGATATGCTTTGGAACACTGCTTTTGTGGTTGTTGCTATAGTGATGCTTTTGGTTTCCAAGGACGAGAATCCTAACGTGCCGATTAGGGTTTGGATCTGTGGGTACGCTCTTCAGTGTCTTGTTCATGTGGTGCTTGTGTGGTTGGAGTTTAGGAAGAGGAACAACACGAGCCGGCGAGGTGGGGATTTGGAAGCTGGTGAAGGTTCTGTTCATGGAAGAAATAGTCATGATAGCGAGGATGAGGATGGTGATGAGAGGATCCTCAGGTTAGCTTTCTCCTTCTCAAATCTCTATCTGACTCGGAAACACCATTTATTAGACAATGGGATTTCAAAGTTTGAAACTTTTCTTTGGTTCAGCTTTGCTTTGTGATTGAGGGTTTCTTTTACTTGATATCAATCTCTCTATCACCTTGGCTAAAAGTTTAGATTTTTAGGATATTATCCAGACCCGACAATGCATCTTGTCTTTCCTGTGTCATAATTACTATGAAGAGTACTCTTAGATTGGGGAAGCATGAAAAAGATTAGTCCTTTTGTCAAGGTTATATCACTTTCCTGTCATGCTTGGAATCTAGAAAGTTCTATCTTAAGAGTGCTGATCCTAAGAATAACTATATTATTCTGCACTCGTGATGGAACTGTGAAATGTGTGTTATCAAGTTCTTGTTTGTGTTGATTTGTTCTTTGAGCAAAGAATTATTTATTAATGGTTTCACAATCAAATTTCTCTCAGCACTAAGACTTGCGAATCGTTTAACACCATAATATCATTCGTCTGGTGGATCGTTGGCTTCTACTGGCTTATATCTGGTGGTGATATCCTTCTTCAAAATGCATCGCATTTGTACTGGTATGTGTTGATATGCTCAATGTTTCTTACTGAGAACTCATTTTCATCATTTGATCTTATGTTTTCCTTTGTTTGCTTGCTGAAATGGCAATGGCATCACAATGTTTAAATTGCTTGCAGGTTGACTTTTGTTTTCTTGGCATTTGATGTGTTCTTCGCCGTCTTTTGCGTTATACTGGCATGTCTTATCGGAATCGCACTCTGTTGCTGTCTCCCTTGTATTATTGCTCTTCTTTACGCTGTTGCCGGGCAGGTATGAGCTAAACAAAGAAAATTTGACTTAAGCTTTGGAAGAAGTGAAATCAGTAAACACGTGTTTTATATGTGTTACAGGAGGGTGCATCAGAAGCAGATCTCAGTATCCTTCCCAAGTACAAGTTCCAAATGATGAACAATGGCGAAAAGCAAAGTGACGGTGGCGGGAAAATGATACCAATCGAGGCAGGCACTGACTACTCGGGAAACGAACGTGTGCTTCTGCCTGAAGATGCTGTAAGTTTGTTATGTCGAAAGTTATTGTCTTGTGGATGTTTTGATTAAGAGAAAATTGAAATGAAGTTTTTTAGAGGTTTCTTTTGATGGGTTTTGTTGTGTAGGATTGCTGTATATGTCTGAGTTCATATGAAGATGGAACAGAGCTGGTGGCACTTCCTTGCAACCACCACTTTCATTCCACTTGCATCGTGAAATGGCTGAAAATGAACGCCACATGTCCATTGTGCAAGTTCAATATCCTCAAAGGTAATGAACAAGAATGATGTAGAAAACCTTTCATCTGTTAAAGTTTTCCTTGGATCGTGTTGTTTTCTTTCTGTTGTATATATAGAGAGAGTAGAGAAATAATTGTGTCTTTTTGTAAGCCGTAAGATAAAATGTGACTTTGTTGTCATTCTCTTTATTTTATTAAATATAGATATTCGTCCAATTTTTTTTTATAGAACGGTATATGTATGTATGTATGTCTAGTATTTTATTTTCAAAACTTTAAAACACTTCTTAGTACTAACTCCAAAAATTACTTTCGTGGCAACGACTTTCAAAATATTTCAATTTTAATGGACTTTTATTAATAGAAAGAAAAGCAATCAAATGTAAAAAAAAAGAGAAATTATACATTATTGATTATCCCTTAAAAAGAAAAAAAAAAAGAGAAGGAGATGAACAGATTAGACAATAGACATTGAACACGTAGTTGACAAGAAAAAAAAGACATAATACACGTTCCCTCCTTTCACGCGCAAAGAATCTCTTTGACTAATCACGGCTTTTTCTCACTAATCACATCACTAAACAACCAAGACAATTAACTATCCACCGATATATCCCCATTTTATTACTATAATAAACCAAGGAACTAAATCAATTAGATTATTATTAATTAATCTGATAATTTGTACTTAAGTGCCTGATCAAGTGAACATTGATTAATCCAGTCTTTCTTTCCTCTTCTAGTCTTGTCACACTATTAGAGAGAGAAAACACTGTGACACAGCATTTAAATCTCACTCTCTCTCTCTCTCTCTCTCTCTCTCTCTCTCTCTTGTTCCTATCTTATTCTCTCTCTAGTTTAGCATCACTCTCTCTCTCTCCGTGGGACTCTGATTTGAAAACCAGAGAAAAGCATTTGGATCGCTCTCTTTCTCTCTCTAGAAATCTGCATTATTAAGCTCACTTGCTGGCTACTCTCTCTGTAAATTTGTCCTCATCTGTGTGTATCATAACACATTGCATTTTTGGATCCTGAGGATTTTTGGATGTGTTGGTGAGGGAGAAATCGAAGGATCATCAGATCGGAGATGTCGGATGTTTCGGCCGACGGAGGTTTATCGGCGTCGTCAACTGAGACGCCTGCGGTTCCGACGCCGTATCCGTCGCTGACGGTGTCGGCGTCTTACAAGGAGAGCAGTGGAGGCGGCGGAGGGAAAAGCTCGTCGAGGAGGAGACCGGTTAGGCCTAGCTTCGACGCCGCCGCCGACAATGAGTTCATCACTCTTCTCCATGGCTCGGATCCAGTGAAGGTGGAGCTTAATCGGCTTGAGAATGAAGTTAGAGGTGCGAATAATGCCTTCTCGATCTATTGTGTTTTTCTTGTGTCGATTCAGATCTAAGTTTTGGTGTCTGGACTCATTATTTTTTATTTCTTCTTTGCAGATAAGGATCGAGAATTAGGCGAAGCACACGCCGAGATCAAAGCTTTGAGGCTATCTGAGAGGCAAAGAGAGAAAGCTGTTGAAGAGGTGTGCTAAATATATTGATATTTCTATTTTAATCTAGATTGAGATTTAGGATCAGTTTATTTAGTTTCAATTTGAGTAATCAAGGATTGGTTTATGGGAATGTTGTGGGAGAAGATTCAGAGCTTTGTTTGTCATGATTCATATGAATCATTTTGCTTCTAAGTTTTTCATCAATGGCTATATCATGTCTCAGTTCTTGACTCTATGATTACTGATGAGCTTCAAGCTCCTTTAAACTGACATTCTCTCATATGCTCTATTGGGATTATAGCTTACCGATGACCTTACAAGGCTGGAGGAGAAGCTCAAGTTAACTGAATCACTTCTCGAGAGCAAAGTATGTATCGAAGTCCCTCTTTCAAGACCACTTCTGTTTTTCTTCCTATGTTCATTTCGCTGGAAATCTGATTAATAAACAAATATGTTGCAGAATCTAGAAATCAAGAAGATCAATGAGGAAAAGAAAGCCTCCATGGCTGCTCAGTTTGCTGCTGAAGCTACCTTGAGAAGGGTCCATGCTGCTCAAAAAGATGACGACATGCCTCCAATTGAAGCCATTCTAGCCCCATTAGAAGCTGAGCTTAAGCTTGCACGCTCCGAGGTATTTTCCGCATATTTCAAGTCCAATTCCGGTGCTGTGTACTTTCATAGCGGAAATTGATTAGTTACGATACTTCTGCTTTAGATTGGGAAACTTCAAGAAGATAACAGAGCCTTGGATCGTCTCACTAAATCGAAAGAAGCGGCTTTACTTGATGCTGAGAGGACTGTTCAAACTGCCTTGGCAAAAGCTGCTTTAGTTGATGATCTTCAAAATAAGAACCAAGAGTTGATGAAACAAATAGAAATCTGTCAGGTGCTGTTACTCATCACCCTCTTCTTTATAACTAGTTAATTAGGCTTTGGAATGCCTTCTACTCAATCACGCATTGTTTCTCAACTACTTATTATCTATTTGTTTGTTTAGGAAGAAAACAAAATTCTAGACAAAATGCACAGGCAAAAGGTTGCTGAAGTGGAAAAGCTTACTCAGACTGTACGAGAGCTGGAAGAGGCTGTTCTTGCTGGTGGCGCTGCTGCAAATGCCGTTAGGGATTATCAGCGGAAGTTTCAAGAGATGAACGTAATTAAATACAATTCATAAGATGACTGGAGAAGAAGAAAAAACAAGTCTTTAGTGTTTTTTTTTGTCATAGAATTTTGATGAAGAAATACTTCTTGGTCTGCTTTTTCAGGAAGAACGAAAAACTCTTGACCGGGAACTTGCACGTGCTAAGGTTACAGCAAACAGAGTTGCAACGGTGGTTGCAAATGAATGGAAAGACGGCAATGATAAAGTGATGCCGGTGAAGCAATGGCTTGAAGAAAGAAGGTTTCTACAGGTTCACTTTGATATGATTGTCCTTCTCCAAAATTCTTGGATTGCAGATTCTTTGCAGTGACAAAGGCACAGACCCACATCCTTTAACTCTTAACTCTCTTCTTGCAGGGAGAGATGCAGCAACTCCGCGATAAGCTTGCCATATCAGATAGAGCTGCGAAATCTGAAGCACAGCTAAAAGTATTCATCTCTTATTCATGCGTTAGTCATCTTCTAACATTTGCTCGTGTTTAACTTTAACTCAATAAACTATTTCTTTGAAAATATTCCAGGACAGGTTTCAACTACGACTTAAAGTGCTTGAAGAGACGCTGAGAGGCACATCAAGCAGCAGTGTAAGGAACACACCTGAGGGAAGAAGCATGAGTAATGGACCCTCTCGCAGGCAGTCACTTGGTGGATCAGATAATTTACAAAAGTTTGCATCAAACGGCTTTTTGTCAAAGAAATCTCCATCTTTTCAGATGAGAAATTCTTTTACTTCTAATTCCACCTCGGTATTGAAGAATGCTAAAGGAACATCTAAGTCATTTGATGGAGGCACAAGATCACTGGATCGAGGCAAAGCACTATTAAACGGACCTGGGAATTATTCATTTACCAAGGCTTGTGACGACGCGAAAGAGCCAGAGTCACCTGATGCCTGGAAAGAAACTTCAGAGGAGAAGCCACCAAGCGAACTCCCTGCACCAGCAACTGAAGACAATGTCCCAGGGGTTTTGTATGATTTACTACAAAAGGAAGTAGTAGCCTTGAGAAAATCTTCTCATGAAAAGGATCAAAGCCTCAAAGACAAGGATGATGCCATAGAGGTGAATTTCTGGAATATCCCATATGATTTTTTTGCTTAAAAGACTGCTTTTAAATGGAAGTTTTGAAATGTTTTCGTAGATGCTAGCGAAAAAAGTTGAAACTTTAACAAAGGCAATGGAGGTTGAAGCGAAGAAGATGAGAAGGGAGGTAGCTGCTATGGAGAAAGAGGTCGCTGCAATGCGTGTGGATAAAGATCAGGATAGTAGAGCTAAAAGGTCATCACACACGAAGAACTCATCCAACACCGCCCAGATTCTTGCTGCAAGGTATCTAGAGCAAGACCAATATCGCATGTTATATATAACTTTGTCCAATTCTACAATCAGTTACATTATCATTGTCTCCAAAAAACTATTTGATCCTCTAAATTTCTGCAGAGCTACTGGACGAAGTGGGTTAACGAGGAGCACACAATGAGATGAGGGACGAGACTAGTTCTCGTGGTCGTATCAGTGTTTTTAAAGCTCCTTTTAACCGTTATATCTTCTTATTCACTTGCTTTCTTTACATCCTCTTTGTGATTTATTGTATTACCATAGAAACTCATCAGCATGCTATGGTAACAACCACAAAAAGAGAAAAGAAAAAGAAAAAAAGAGAAAGATGAGTATGCTTTCTGACTTAGATTGGCTTACACTGCTTAGCAATGACGGGGAAAAATGGGAGGAAGGAGGGGAGATATGTTTGACATTTTGGCATAACATTTTCTGTCCTACGGAAAGTAGTTTGTCTGGGCTGTGTATAGGTTTTTAGCTTTTGCATTTGGAGTTGTGTTCTTACACTACTTGAGGTGTTGTGTGATTATTTCTACTTTTGACTTTGTTGATATATGTCTCTATATTCACAGATCTCCAACCTTAAAAAGTGAGAAACCTTCATACATCAAAACCTTTTAACATTACATGAATATCTAAACCGTACAAACGATCACTAACTCACTATGTACAGACTCTATTAGCTGAATTTATAACAGATACAAAACCAAAGGACACAAAAAACAGCAGAAGCTTTGCTTACATATCTGAGTCCTGTCGGCTAGCCAAGCAGAGTTCATGTAACTCATTGAGTATCCATTCCTCACCCGTGTGACCACCCAGGACCAAAACTCTAGTCCCTCCAACAACGCATGTGCTATGTCCCCAAGCAAACTTAGGCGGTTTTCCGGGGACATTCAGGATCCTCCACGACGGTTTCTCTTCTGCAGGATCTATTAAAAACAACTGCGAAGGAGAGTGAAGCCCTGCAATAGAGCCTCCAAAGACGATGACTCTACCACACGGCATGCTCACAGCCACGTGATCCAATCTTGGAGGCGGTGCAACCTCACCTGTGAATGCGCTACACTCGAGCTCTCTCCATCTCGGTTTTTCATCTTCCAAGTCTATAGTATATGCCTCCCCTGACCTTAGCTTTAGATGACCGCTATTTGCAAGCCCACCAAACATTAAGATTTTAGTCCGGCCAAACACCGATAGAGAATGTCCAAGCCTACAAGGAGGAGCCCATGAGGTCGGGATCTCTCTCCATTTCGGTTTATCTGTTGTTAGATCCAACAAGAAAGTGTCGCTGAGAAGCACCCCAGCGTCTGTGCAGCCACCTGAGACAACCAGTTTAGATCCTTCAATGGTGCACGAGCTGTGCCAAGATCTTGGCAATGGAGGTGTTCCTCCAGCTACTTCTTTCCATGTTGGATGCTTAGCGTCTAGATCAAGCACAAAGACATCGTTAAGCAATCCTTCTCTTCCACACCCTCCAAATACTACCAACCACGATCCGTTGAGGCACGTGAGCGTGTGTCCCCAACGTCCTGGAGGCGATGACTTCACCCTCACACGTTGCCACTCGGGAAACTCTGAATCGAGATTGAGAACAAAAGTATCATCCATTGGCTGCATGTTAACACCTTCCCCACCAAACAACACAAGCCGGTTCCCAACAGCACACGCACTGAAATTGCAGCGAGAAGGTTGTACAATCCCTCCAACGGTAAATTTTCGCCAACACACAGCTTCGAGAGTAGTGAGCTCTCTGGCTAAACGACCCCATCGTAGCTTCTTAGTCATGATCTCCAATGTTCCGGTTATCTCTTTCCCCCACGCATTTTGACAAACCATCTTCCTCACGCTCTCGTTTTTCGTCAACTGCCTCATCCTCCTGCAGGCTGAACCAATGGAAGCAACGTCTCTTGGAGTTAACCGAAACAAGATGTTATGCGCCAAGACTTCATCAGAGAGCTTCAATATCCCACAGACATCTTGATGATCCTCCCTGAACCTCGGGCTTCCACTTGCAACCAAGCACTCAGATTTCTGATCAAGCTGTTGTTTGAAGACGGGATATGAGACACGGTCTAGGTCTATAGTGGTTTCGGAGAAGACCTGTATCCCAATTACATGAGTAATGGTTCCATCATCGTCACGTATTGGAGCAAGCCGTACTCTGTTCACCAGCGGAGTGCCATCTTTTCTGAAATTGAGAAGCTCTCCTTGAAACTCAATACCTTCTTCAAGACATCTTCTTATCTCAGACACAACCACAGGATCCACCAATGGGTGTCGCCTTTGAGCACGAGGGTCCCTGTACTGTAGGAATCGACTGAAACCAAGGAAAAAACAAGAGAGATTCTTATTCATAATTGCAACTTATTCATAAAACAATGTATCTTCAACATTACTTTCTCCAGCTAAAAGTTCATCAATCAAGCTTAGTGACGCATTCCAGATATGAAATCGAACAGAATTTGACTACTTCTTACTCCAAATGCAGCATTTTCCAAGAGAAATGATAACAGAGAACAGAAAATTCCCACAGAAATTCAAATTTCGACGATCAACCCAAAACAAAAGGAAGCAAGGAAAAAAAGGGGAAATAGGAGTTAATACCAGTTTTGACCAAGAACTTCATCGGCTCGATAACCAGTGAAGACTTCGAAGACTCTATTGACGTAGATCAAAGGAAAATCTGGCTCGAGAGCATCGGATACAATAAACGAAGGCGGATTCATTGGGTAATAGAACATCCCAAGCTCTAATGGAAGCTCCTCGTCTCCTACTACCTCTTCTTCTACTTCTTTTCCAATTCCATCTCCGATGTCTTCCTTTTCGTCTTCTTCTTCAACTCTCCCGCGTTTCTTTCGTTTTCCGATCGTTTCGCTCGCATGTTCTCTCGCCATTTTCGCTCACAAAAATATCTTCTCTCTGTCACGCTCTCCTGCGCCTTATGATATTATTTTTCTCTTTTTTGCGTCTGTTTAAAAACTTTATTAATATATCTCCGCTTAGATGGAGACTCGTTCGACGAAAATACCCTCGGAAAGCTAAAGTGGAAGACGAAGTTTGGTAAGCGAAGGAAGTGGCAGTCTCGTAATTAAAATGAGATAGATGACTAATCATACCCAAGTAAAAATCTACGCCTAATTCGATGAGCACACGTCACTAGATGATATCTCCGACAAAAACAAATATCTAACCTCCTGCGCCACTCCGCTTCTTCCACGTCATCGGGAAAGATATTTGTTTTTTTTTATGGTCTGACGGAAGATATTTTCATTATTTTGTGAAAGTGTTGGTACCGTACGCAATTAGAAATTTAGAATCAGATTCACTTAACTCTAGACTCCGATTAGATTGAAGATATTTTGTAAAATGCGCTTGTGTATTTTACTTTGTCAACATTATTTTGAAACGGTAAAAATAATCTAATACGATATTGATTTTTAAAACATATACTATTTTACAATTCGTATAAGATTGTGTTTAAATTATAGTTTTGGCAAAACAAAAAAATGATAATTATGGACATATTTGTAGAAAAAGAAAAAAGACATGTAAAATGATTTGAAACACTCATCTTCAAAGACAAATTCACTTACAATACTAATTGTCCCATTAGATTTATGAGTACAAATCTCCATTTTACATAACAAATTTTTATAGATTTATTCAAATATATATAATTTTGACAATTTATATAGGTTACAAAATTATATATAGCCAAAGAATTAAGAGAGGGTTAAGTGTGAAATGATATATTTTTTTTTTAACTTTCCTTGCAATGTTAAGATGTGGAAAATAAACTTGCAAGAAATGTCACTTAGGAAATTTTGTCTTTCTTTCAGGAAAATGAAACCCCATATATAAACTTTTTTTTTTTTTAAAATAAGCACTTTCTTTTGATTAGAAGAGATCAAGAGATGGAGCAAGTGTAGCCCACGATTGTATTACACAATGCACAGGCCCATACTAGATAGCTAGCCCTTAAGCATACAAGAGCAGTATTACGAGTGCTTTTGGTTAAGTTGGGGACTTCTCCTGAGTACCCATCACTCCATAAGTTTTAGAGTCTAGTGTGAATTTCGATCTGTAATCTTTCAGTTATTATATATAGAAAATAATTAGTAATTACATCCACTAGTCCAAATATAATATTGGTCAGTTATTTTATCAAAAGGTTAATTTGCATTTGCATATATATATTAATTGAATTTGACATCGACAATTACAAAGTCTAAAGCAAAACCCTGAAAAGGCCTGGTTAAGGAACTAAGGAAATGTAACACCCCGACCCGCCGGATCGGTTGTTATTAAAAATCAATTTTCAGTTTATTTAAATTAAATCATTATTTCTAATTAAGCCCAATTTTAATTTTTTTAATTTCTTTTTAATTTCCTGCGAGCCCATTAATCCAACCCATTAAGTCAGCTCATCTAAATTAACCCTAATTATAAATAGTTCTCTAATCTCTCATTCTCCATTTTTGGAAAATCCTAGCACATTCTTCTCCTCTCTTCTCCTTCTCTCAGCCACGCCATCCTCCTTTTCTCTCTCGCCGTGGCTCTCTCCCTCTATCTCTCTCTCTTTCTTTTCCTCTCTCCCTTGGCCGCTGCTCTCTCCTCTCCCATCAGCTTCGCTCCCTCTTTCTTCTCTCTTAAACCCTAGCCGCCGCCGCCTCCTTCCATTACGTTTTTCCGGCGAACCGTGTGGATCCACGAGACGAGTTACCTATAAATCTGTAGCCCCGAGTGTTAGCTTTCCAAGGAGACCGAGTTCATCCAGATCGGAGATCTATGCCAGGAGATATCGTCGTTTTCGTGTCAGGCGTCCAGATCTACTTTGTTGCTAAGGTGAGGATTAGATCTAGGATCTTCTTTTTATTCATTTGTCTTCTTCTGGTGTGTGGAGTCTAGATCTGATGATCCTAGGAGGTTTCCTTGTGCATCTAGCTAGATCCATGTGTGAGTCTAATGAAATGAATTAAGATCTCATTAGAAGAAGAACCAACATATTTGATTGTTCACCCTGATGTGTGGTTAGTGATTGGTAGTGTAGCTAGATCAGGTGTTTATCTCGGTGGTGATGTGCCGAGGTATGGACTTGTTTGCTGGGCTATTGCTGTCTGTGTGACCAAAGCGGTAGTTCAACGGTGGGGGAAGGTACGCCGATCCTTCCGGAGTCTATATGACTGGAAGCCTGTCTGTGTGACCTGGCAATGTTGAACCTGTCTGTGTGACCTGGTGCCTGTCTTTGTGACCTGGCGATGTAGAGCCTGTCTGTGTGACCTGGCAGTGCCTGTATGTGTGACCTGGCAAGGGTGGAGACATCACAATTGCTTGCTAGTTGTTTGTGCATCGCTAGGATGCATGTGTGTTGCTTGTTGGATTTATTCTTGACATGTTAATTGGAAATGAATGAGTGGGAAGGGAGTCTGGTCTGGTTCTCACTGAGTAATCTCCATTACTCACCCTTCATCTTCCCTTGTCTTATCAGGTGTAGGTGAAAGATCAGCTTAAGTCTATGTTGTTGATTGTTAC